CGGCTGGAGGTGTGAAGAGACGCCGCTCCCACCTCGAGCCGCCGGAGGCTGCAGCAAGGCGCACCAGCCTGGCGTGCGCGGGAAGGCTGCGCGCCATCAGCGCGATCTTTTCGGGCGGCATCACGAGGTAGTCGGGCGAGCCTATCCGCACGGCTCCGAGAAGGCTCGAGGAGCCTTCAGAGAGAGAGGCACCGTGCGAGGGCGAGGCGGTCTGGCGAGCCGTCAAACGTCACGTGTGGCGGCGAGGCGCACGGGTAGCGGCGGCGGTACCAGCAAAAGTCGAGGCCGACGCCGACGCCTCGCGAGAAGTAGCGCACCTCCTTGTCCCAGACGCACGTGGTTCGCGCCGCGCGCACGGGCCACTCGCTGCGGTCGTACGCGCAGTTCGGAGCGAGGACATGCGGGTGGAGGAGGAGCTGCTTGCTGAGTGAGGTGGTGCCACCCTTTCGTGTGCCGATCAGCAGCAGCGAGGGTACCGGGCCGAGGCTGCCGCTCGAAACCACGCCCACCCACTGCGACCCGTTTACCGGCGGGCAGCCGTCGGGGAGGGTGCAGCGGGCGGAGGAGCCGTCGTCTGCGGGAGCCGCGAACGCCGAGGCGGCGAGGAGAAGCAAGCTGCTGCGAGGCATGCCCACGCGTTTTGGGTGGCCAGCGATTCGACGGGAGAGGCAGCCTGGCGGGAGAGGGGAGGCGCAGTAGAACCCAAAGCGGGCGACTAACTCTGCAGGCGCGCGGTCGGCAAGGCGGCCAGCGTTTTTTTTGCGAAGTTGAGCACTTGAGCACTTGAAAGGGTCGATTCCGCATGGTACGGGACCCCTCGATCGTCTCGCCCTCCCTCACTGGTGTGTTCATTGGGAGGGGGGGGTCATAACAAACACGGTACAGGATCGAGGTGCTGCCAAAGCAGGATCGACAAACTCCGGGCCGGTCAGCAAGCCGGCCTTCTTTTTTTGCGAGCAGTTTTAGGTATAAACGGAGAAGCGTTCTCTCTCTCGCGGGATGGTGCGAGGTGAGCCGAAGAAGAATTCCGCAGCCCGGGTCTGAATATTCACTCTTGATCGATGGACGATGCGATCGATGCGCACTTTGCGCTTGCGCTTCATCGTGCTCCTCGCGGCGACCTCGCCCGCTGTCTCGGTGCTGCAGCGCCTCTGGTGAGGTGGTTGACCAGAAAAGTGCGGCGGCGACGGCGCCGCAAGCATTCGGGAGGCGTGTGGGCCGCGGGACACAAGGCACCGAAGAGGGGCTACTTTAGGTCAGATCCGCTGGGAGTGCAAAGAAACCCAAGGGTGAACTGCTCAACGAACATACTGCTCCTGCGACACGTGGACGGAGCCGCCGTGGCGCCTGGTGACCTGGATGTTGACGGGGAGCGGTGCTGCTGCCAAAAGCCACGGCACCAAATCAGCCTGCGACGTTCTGCGTTCGCAACTTCGCGGCCGCGAGACTGCCAGCTGCGCGCTCGGCGCCACTCAGGTTAGCGTCCGGGTCCTCGATATCGTCAGCCCGCTGCAGGTTCCTCACGGCACAAAGGTGCCTTGCCTGACACTGACCAACATCCACGTCGAGCGAGCGGCAAGACGCAAGGGCCACGCTAGAAAAGCTGTGCACGCTTTGCGCACGGTCGCTGCTGGCTCAGGGCGTGCGTTGCTTGTCGAGAACGTCGTCTCTCAGAACATGCACGCCCTCGTGAGAGATCTCGGCGTCAGCCCCTCTTTGGTGCGCTGGGACGCCATCACTCAGTTTCCCACACTTAATAGGCCACACGAGAGCCGACACGCCCCTCTTCGTACCTTGTAGGCTGCAGAGCCGGCGCCAAGGCTGCACGTACTGGCTCCCTGACGTGTCGAGACGGACTTGGAAGGAGATGACAGTCGAGCGGTAGCGGCAGCGGCAGCGGCAGCGGCAGCGGCAGCGGCAGCGGCATCGGGGAGGTACGAAGAGCGTGTGCTGCTGCCAGCTGGAGCTGGACGAGGCTGGAGCGCCTTGCGAGTACGAGTTCCTCGTCCTCGAGCACCATTGTCTGCCACGCATCGCTGTCTTTCGGCACGTCCGACGGCCGCTGAACCTCGAAGATCGCCGGCACGCGAGTCTCCGCCAGCGAGTCCCCCGGCTCGATGTCCTCCGGCGGGCGGTCCATCTCGGCCGTGCCAACCTCCAAGCTGCCGTTGTCCGCGTCGTACGTCGACTGCACAGTGCTGCCCGTGGCTTTGTTGTGCTGCGCCTGCCGCGTGCCGAGGTAGATGCCGAAGCTCTTCACCACCCTCGCGATGCTATACCGACGGAGCGACCACAGTCCAAACGCATTCGGCTTGTAGCCTAGCCTCAGGCCGGCGCGCTGCAGCATCGAATACATGTGCTGCGCGAGCAGCGCCTCCTTCAGCCGCACGCGCCCGCCGCTCCCAACCTCCGGCAGCGATGGGTCGTCGAGCACACCGGCGTTGTACCGCCACGCGTCCTTCTCGCACGCGTCGTGCATCTCCTTCCAGCTCTTGTACACCGTATCGCGCAGCCGCACGTAGCCGTGCGACTCGAGCCTCGCCTCGAGCACCGCCAGCTGCCTCTCCGTCAGCCCCGCGCAGCACGCCCGGTACCGACCGAATCGCATCTGCATTGCCTTGAGCACCGTGGTCGTGCGCCGCACTGGCGACACCGCGTTGGCCGTCACCGAGAAGTACTCCTTCTTCACTCGTCGCCAGTTGAGCTGCATCTGTGACGTCGCCTCGCCAGCGCACACGCCCGTGGCCTTTGTCAGCACGAGCTTGCGCACCTTGTGCACCTGAGAGCGCGACGGCAGCGGTTTCTCGGACTGGCACAACGTGAGCGCTGATCCCATCGATTGGGGCTACGTCATCCTCGGCAACACCGAGGGCAAGGGTGCGCCTTATTGGGCCAGTGACAATGTTGCCATGGCAGTCCTCGTGTCCATCTGCCGTGGCGTCATGCATTTGGATAGCGCAGATGACTGGATTGATCCGAGCAACTCTTACCAGGGCGCGCCTGAAGGTGGCAAGGCCACGGAGTTCCCGACCTTCTACTACTCCAACTTCACGACTCAGCGATTGGCGGCAAGGCGTACGCACTGAGCTACGACGACGTCTTCGGTACTGACCCGACCGTGTACGTCCAGGGCTCCGATAAAGCTCAAGAGACTGTGCAGGTCCAGGTGCAGTTTTCAATGGCAAGGTCGACGTGACACTCACAAGCCTTTGACCCCCTGCCCCTTCGTTGCCCATTGACTCTCTTACGGTTTTTGTCTTTTAGCTTACTGGGAGAAAAGAGAGAGGGGGTTGTCTCTTTTTGTCCAGTCTCGTCCAATTCTGTCCTGTCGTCTCCGCTTTTCTCCACATAGAGTATCACCAAGCAATACGAGCAGGAAGGCGTGTGTACGACTCTCGTACCCTCCGCGGCCGGTGTGTGTTCCCCCCCCCCCCCCGGCCCCCCCCCGCCCCCCGCCCCGAGACTGCGAGCGATGCGCGGGCGACCGAGTATGCCTCGGACGGGGCTGAGGGCGGACTGCGATATCGTGTCCTGCTGGCCCGCGTGAGCGCTCGTGCGAACATACCGCACACGTACACGTACTCTACCCCTCACAGCTCACCTCGCACGTGCATGTGAGAGCTGGGTCCGCTGCCGCGTGCGACACCACCGAACTGAACAGCGCGGTCGTCCCTCCCCCATGCAAGTTCACGGCAGCAGACCGTGGGCCACGTCGCGCAGCCCGCGGTGCAGCTCTTCGCCGCGGTCGCGGCAGAACTGGTCGAAACCGTGGCACTGCGACATCGCCACCGCGGCCAGCCGCTCGCCGTGGCTCGCAACGAAGCGGAGGGTGTGCAGCCCCGCCCAGCCAAAGACGGGGTGCGTCTCGAGCTGCGGCGGGGGGCGGCGGCCGCCGCCGCCGCCCGACAGCGCAAACCCGAGCCCCCACCCTTCCGACTCGGGCACGCTGCCGGCGGGCCGCTCGCTGTCGAGGTTCCGGAAGGCGTGGTCCCCCGCTGGCGCGAGCCTGTCGCCGTGCGTCATCGCGTGCACCGCGGCGCGGCCGACGACGCGCGCGCCGCCCGCCGCTTTGCCGCCCGAGAGGAGCATCGAGAGGAAGGAGAGGTAGTCGGAGGCCGTCGAGAGCAGCCCGCACCCGCCCGACTGCAGCGCGACGGAGGAGCCGTCTCCCACGTACGCCGCCTGCGCGCTCGCGCACCACGCGGCCGCGGCCGCCCCCTTGCAGCTCCGCAGCGACCCGCCCGGGGCGTGGAAGAGCTCGGCGAGTCTCGCGCGCCTGTCCGCGTCGTCCGGCGAGAGGAGGAAGGCCGTATCGTTCATGCCGAGCGGGCGGAGCACCCTCTCCGCCAGAAGCTGACCGAGCGGCCGCCCGGAGACGACCTCGAGCACGCGGCCGAGCACGTCCGTGTCCTGCCCACAGAGGGAGGTGTGAAGAGACGCTGCTCACGCCTCGAGGGCGCGCGGCCGAGCAGAGCGGCGTGTCCTGCCCATACGAGTACGCGGACCCGGGCTGGCTGACGAGCGGGATCGAGGCGAGTCGGCGCACGTTCTCCGCCGCATCGACGCCGCGCTCCACCTGGAAGGGATGCTGTCCCCCTCTCTCTCTGTGTCTCTCTGTGTTGTGACCACGCAGCTCTCTCCATCTCTCTGTGTCTGTGTCTCTGCCTCTCTCGCCTCTCGCCTCTCTGTCTGTCTCTCGGTGTCTGCCTCTCTCGCCTCTCGCCTCACTATCTGCCTCTAGCCTCTCGCCTCCGAGTGGCAGCCGTCGAGCACGCCGCGCTCGCGCATCAGCGCGGCGGCCACGTCCGCCGACGGCTGCCACCGCGACGTGTCAAAGTGCTCCCGGAAAAAGGCATAGGTGAGGCCCGCGCGGTGCGTGAGCAGGTCCTCGACGGTGATGTTGCGGTGCGCCGGGACGAGACGGAAGCGGTGGCCAGCCTCGCGCAGCGGGCACGCCGCGTCCGGCTCGCTCGGCGCGCAGACCTCGGCCACCCGCATGTCCGCCCACTCGGGCAGCAGCGCGGCGACCTCGGTGTCGAGCCCGCGCGGGAGGAGCCCGTCCTCGATCAGCGATGCCGCCGCCACGCCGACGATCGCCTTGGTCATCGAGCACACGCGAAAGATGGTGTCGGCAGCGTATGCGCCGGCCGCGTGCACGAAGAGGTCGCCGTCGCGCTGCACGGCCACCACTAAGCCGGGCAGGCGGCCAGAGGAGACAAAGGCGTCGGCCCAGCGGGCGGCGACCTCGAACCGGCTGCGGTCGAGCCCAGGAGGAGCCGCATCGGGCTGGCCGGTGCACTGCTGCGCGGCGCTCCGCTGCGGGAAGGCGAGGCAGGCGAGGAGCAGGACGATGGGGCGCGAGCGTCGTGGGAAGAAGAGCGTCATAGGTGTCTCAATTCGCGCGCTGCTGCAATACCGGAATTTTTCTTTTTTTCATTCCGGGAGCGAGCTCACGCACGCCTTTTTCTTTCTCCTGTTGATCTTTCTCCAGATGTCCACGCATGTGTAGTCACTTTGTACATACAGGCGCAACAGATAGTACATACAGAGAGGGCATTGCCGCAGTGCCAGAGAGTACAGATGTCAGTGTACAGGCACGTGCGCGAGAAATGCTTCTCTTTGCCACAGTCGTGTAGCGCGTTCGCGGTCTACTGTGCCCCCGGCTGGAGGACTGCGCTCATGGTACAACGTCCGCTGGAGGCACCAAAGCTCTTGCAACGTGTGTGGTGTCCGCACGAGGTTTCAGGATGCCGTCGCGCAGGTTGGCTCGCTGGGCACACCCGTGGTGTCGAACTGAGACGTGTAGGGCACCGGATAGGGGTCAATGCCCGTGCCGGCAAATGGTGGGTCCATCAGGAAGTCGGTCCAAGCGTTGTCGTAGCGAGCAAGGATGTTCGGGTTGAATCCAAAGAGGTTGTGTGGCTCAATCTTCACCTCAATGGTTGAGAAGCCGTTCTGTAGCGAACGCAGCGCAGTCACACGGTCAGATAGAGTGTCAAGAGAAGGAGGGGGTGACGCGGGGGGTCGGTCGCGCACCTGGGTGGGCATCTCATCGGTAAGCACGTCGTGAAACAGCTTGGTCGAGATCCAAACCGTGGGTTTGTCTCCCAGCGTCGGATCGACGCCCCCTTGGAGCATTGGGTGCGTCGTGCGGTCGGAGTAGGCCATCGAGGTGGGGCCAATGTCTCCTTGGCCCTGCATCAGCATGGTGCCGTTGCGCCGGCCGGTGGCGTTGAAGACAAATACGTCCTGCTCTGACAGCCACCAGTGATTCCCTGCGAAGGTGTTGTCGGGTTCGATGCTCGCCTTGCTCTCCATATTGCCCGGGCGGATGCGGACTCCCAGCTCTGGGCTGGTAATCTTCAAGCCACCCTGTTGGGCGAAGGGGGGGGGGGGGGGGGGAGACCAGTTTGGCGCCGGTGTCCTTGTCGTATGCAGCCAACACCCAGAAGCGCTGCGTGTCGCCCCGAGCCTGCAGCAACTCCTTTTGGTTGGCTGCGGTGATGTCGGTGGTGCGTCGGTAGAATCCCTTGCCGAACCAGTCGGAGGCCTCCATGTCGCCCATCGCCAGGTCTGATGTCTGCACCACTTGCTTTGCATCGTTGGAACGGAGCATGGGCTCCAAGTTGATGGTGGCCCAGTGCAAGTGGTTGCACGCGAAGCCTCCCCTTCCCTCCGACGCAAACTGGCCATTGACACCTGGGATAGGGGCCTGGCCACCGGACGCAAGCGGCTGTCCGTGGGCGTGCTGGCCGACTTTCATCTGGCCTGTCGAGAAGAGCTCAAAGTCAACAATGATGTTGTACGCCTCGGAGATGGTCGTCTGCGTAATGAGAAGCGAACGCTTGTCCTGAGCCGACGAGAGATGCCACATGCCCTTCCCGGGCACGAGGTTTTCTTCAAGGCAGGCCCACTCGGGGAACCACACGTTCTCTACCATGGCTCGAGTTCCGCCGGGAAACACGTTCCAGCCCACGTTGTTGATACCAAAGTACCCCGAGAGGTAGGGGTCGGCGCCGAACGGGAGCACACCCGGTGGGTAGAGGCTCGAGTAGATCGGCTCGACCCCGCCATCACCGCCGTTGCTGCTGTACGGGCCCGTGCGAGTGCGGAAGACGGGGAGCGTTTTGCCGGTGCACACCGAAGGCGACGTGGTCCCTGTGGCGTCCCAATAGTGCGACTCGAGGAAGGCGGGCTGATAGAATGCTCCGTGCGAGCTGGACGAATACGCCGTCCCAAAGTTCGCGACTTGGGCCTTGAAGAGGTAGGGCACGACCTCGCCCTGCGGGAAGGCGCGCGAAGGCGGAAGCACGACGCGGATGTTGTACAGCGTGAGCCCAGCATCCTACAGCAGGCAGGGCGAAGATTAACATCTTCAGCCCAGCTCGACGTGGAGAAGCACGGTGGAGTTGCACAGGGTCGAAACCGATGTCAAATTTCCACGTCAGGCCGGCAGAATACGTCACAGAGTAGCCGTCGATGGTAAAGGAAGAGCCAGCGGGCTCCACCGTCACCTGCGGATACGCGGGTAGTGTAGACGAGATGGGAAATGCGGACCAGGGGTGGCGCGGTAGGCACCAAAATGCGGGGGCATTACACCTTTGGCTTGCCGTTTGGCTTGAAGATGCCTTCGCCATTGGCGTCGGTTGGCGGTGCCATCTTGTCGAGGTTGTTTCGCACGTCACGGAAGATGCCGTTCGACCAGTCCATCGTGTTTGGCGGCAAGTTCGAGGCACCCGTGTACGGATCGGTGATGGTCTCCGACGAGTACGAGGTTGGAGTGGCGTGGTTGACATAGGTCCCAGTGTCTTGTTTGTGATTCACAGCGCTCTTGGGCCGCGGCAGGCCGTCTGCGTCGGTCACCAGTTGCCCTGGATAGAAGTGAGAAGAGGGCGTGATCTCCTCTTCACCCCACGCGGCGGCGATGGCAGCTGAGAAGATGGGGGTGACCGTGGCCCAATCCGTTCCAAAGCCTGGGAAGCCGGTGTCGATCGACGCCCGCAGAATCGCCGCATCCTCGGCAGAAAAGCGAAGGCAGCGGCCATACCACGCGAGGCCGATCGCGGGCGAGTCGACGAGAGTGTTCTCAGGCGACGGAATCGTTGTACCAAACGCGTCGATCTCGTACAGGACTGTGATTGGATACGGGCCCATGAGGGTGCCAGCAGAGACCGTCGTGAAGAAGTCGATTGGGAGAACGGTTTCTTGAAGGGGCCGCATCCAGTCTTGCACGAGGTACGAGTTGCTCTGGTTTCCGTAGAAGAGGGCGCTGTCGCCGTGGGCCCAATGATAGGGCTGCGCAAACTGCTTCACCGACGCGCCAGCACCGATGCTTGAGCCGGTCGCAAAGTGGATGGTGGTGTACTTGCCGAAGATAGCCATCGTGGCCGCCTTGAGGTACGCGCCGTCTATGTCCGCAAGAGTCGGGGTTGGCATCACGCGGTTCGCTGCCAGATAGAGCTCGAGATAGTCAGGAACGACGACAGGTGCGGCCGTGTCTGTCACGTCCACAGCCACCGAGATGGTGTTTGTCCAGCGGATGCCGTCGACGACGGTTTCGGTGCCGCCCTTGAGCCGCGCCGCGACAATTTTCTTCAGCGCGTAGTCGGTCTGTCCACCCTCGATTGCTGCGTCGACCGCAAGGACATGCTCGCGGTCAGGCACGATGGTCGCAACCCTTTCAACGCTCCACAGGACCAGGTTGCACCGGAGCTTGCCATCTGCCTTTGTCATTTCATAGGCGGATGCAGCTCCAGCGGTCGACACGAGCTCATTGTACGCCAGCTTCGCCTCGGCACTGCCGAGCGTGCCGTTCGGGCACTCTTCGATTTCGGCCACGCCACGGATCGTCGCTGGGTCGACGCCGCCGATTTCTGCGAGGGCGCTCTCAATGAGTGACCATCCGTTCGGTGCCGCAGCGAGCGTGTCGGCCGCATCCAGACTCTTCACGGCTGAGGTGCCAAAGAGAAGCGTCTGAACGGCCCGCACCTCCTCTTGCGTTGCCGGGTCGGTCGGGCGACGGTGGCCGCCATTCTCGTAGGTCAGGGGACTGGCGCCGACAACAAAGCCGCCGTACGGCGCCGAGGTTGTGGCGTCCGGCTCCACACACGTGGTCGCGTTCGTCACGCAGGGTTGCGACGGAGAACCCGGCGGTGAAATTGGCGACGGGCTCGGCGATCCCGGCGGTGAAATTGGCGACGGGCTCGGCGATCCCGGCGGTGAAATTGGCGACGGGCTCGGCGGTTCTTCGGCGGGCGACGAGGCGAAGCCCGCCACAGAGGCAAGCGAAGCGAGAAAGTAAATCGGCCGCATGGTCCCCGGCGAGCCGGAGCTGGGGGACAAGCCTTGGACGGGGAGCAAAGGGGACAACTCGTTCTCTAATCAAACGCAGCGGATTTGAGTGTATCCGGCGCCCGGTTTTCCAGGAGGTTTCCAAAAGGAATTTGCCAAAAACATACCTAAGACAAAAGGGAAAAAAGGGAGGCGGATAATGCCAATCCCAAACTAGGGCTGGCTACAAATTCTTTTCGCTTTGGACGCTGTGAATTCTTTTTAAAATTCGTCTCATCCTTTCGCCTGCGGAAACGACCAGGGACCCCTAGATGTTACCCCGGAAGCTCCGACGAGTTGCCACCTGCACGGCGCATCTTCGCTATGCCAGAGACCCAAGCTATACGGCGCCGGACTGGGTGAGCGCCCCCCCCCCCCCCCTTCCCCCAACGCGCGCCCCCTCCGTCCCGGCCTTACGCACATGGCATTCACAACGCCTTGCACCCGGCCCGCGGCCGGCTCCGCCTCGCCTCACCACTGACCGCCCTGCGGCCCCTGCGCAGGCGTCGAATTCATTCGAGCGACGCGTCGGGTGTGGGCTGCTTCCTTGCCCCGCACCCGCCGCCCTCTCGCCGGCCGCCTCACCGCGCACGGATCGCTCCCCTGCTCGTGGCCGCCGCCGCGTGTCCCCGCGCCGCCACGCTTGCCCCCTCTCCTGACACGCACCCCGCGCAGACGGCGCTCCGGGACAGACAGAGCAGCGACCGCGCACCGGTCGCTGCTCCGCCCCTCCGTCCGTCGCGCGCGGCGCGCGCGCACTGCCGCCGCTGCCGCCGCCGCTGCCGCCGCTCCGTGGTTCCCTCAGTGTGTCTCATGAGGGTATGTGGTGTGTGCGCGCGCAGTGTGTGCACGGCGGGAATCCCACCCCTGCCCTCAGCCGCGCGCACGCGTGCGCCGCGCGCCGCCGCCCCCGCCCCCGCCCCCGCCCCCGCTCTCCCCTTCGCGCCCTTCCCGGTGTTCATGTCTGCACTGTCTCGTGAGAGAGTGGATGTGTGACCCTGTGCGTGTGTGAGAGTGTTCAGTGCGCGTCAGTCCCGCGATCTCGAGCCCGATCAGTGTAAGCAGAAAGAGAAAGATAATCTGCGTGCTTGCAATCAGAGCGCGGGCCCCTTCACGGGTGAAGCTTACCAGAACCCCTCTTCTTCATGCCGTATGAGACGCATAGTCTGAGGGTTAGGTTTCTGGAGCCTCGGGTGCTTTAGAGGTATATGATAGCCTGATCGCAGCGCATGGGTGCATGTACATAATCTTTCGATAGGCCTGACCTGCTCAACCGCCTGAGAGCGGCGGGCGTGGCTCTTGCAGACCGGCAGGCGATCGCGACAGCAGTGGGGAGAGCGAGCAGGGCAGGGCGGTAGGTTGGAGAGCAATTGCACAGTCGGTAGAATCCCTTGCCGAACCAGTCTTTGGAGAAAAATTCCGTGGGAAGAAGAGCGTCATACGGGACGGAATTTTTCTTTCTTGCTGTTTTGCCCGCGGCCGCGCGGCTACTTCCGCTGGCGTCGCGACTCGCATCTACGGGCGTGCTTCGCCGCGCCACTACGTCGGCGCCACGCAATTTGTCAACCACCCGGGCCGCTACCTCGCCAGGCTCCTCCGGCCTGACCACTCGGGCCGGCGCTGGCGCCCTCTCAACCGGTACGCCGTCATTCGGCGGTGGAGGCGGCCGGCGCAACTTCTCGTCCGGCTCCTCGTCATCCTCCTTTGGCGGCAGCATCCCAAACATCTCCGACATTCCGGCGCCGTCGGCCTCGCTCGTCGCCGCGGCTGTCGTCGGCGCCTCCGCTCTCTACCTAGCCAAGCGGGCGGTGCTGATGACGGACGCCGGAGTCACGTACGTCGTCCAGAACAATCTGACCGGCCAGCTTGACGTGCACACAGAGCCAGGCATGTTCTTCATCACGTCGACATTCGAGGCCGACGAGGCCGTCATCGCCCGCTTCGCCGACACGTACGTCGGGATGATCCCCGTCACCTTTCGCTTCAAGCTGCCCGCCGACCCGGAAGGCGTGCGCAAGATGCACCGCGAGTTCCGCTCCGAGACCAACTGGTCAAGTCGCTGCTGATGCGGAACGCGTCAAACGTGACGGTGATCACGGCGACGCAGTACACCGGCGAGGAGTTCTTCCAGGGCGGCCTGAACCAGTTCAAGACCCAGCTCGCTGATCAGCTGCAGAATGGCATCTACCTCACCGAGCGCCGGCAGGTCGAGATCGAGCAGACCGGCAGGTCGAGATCGAGAAGCAGCTGGTGTGGAAGACGGTGCCCATTCTCCAGGACAATGGCGTGCCGCAGCGCGCCGAGAACCCGCTCTCCCAGTACGGCATCGACGTCACCCAAGTGCTGATTGGCGACCCGCGACCCGAGCCCAATTTGGACAGGCTGCTGATGGACAAGAAGCGCCTCGTCGCCGAGCGCATCAAGACGGTGCAGGAACAGGAGACGTCCAAGGCGCAGGCGAACACCGAGCAGCTCAAGAAGGAGATCGAGCGCACGCGCGCGGTGCAGGACGCCCAGCGCCAAAAGGAGCTGCGCACGATCGAGATGCAGCGCGAGGTCGTCGACGACGCGGGGGACACACGCTCCACTCTGCGCCCATTCTCTCCTGAGGTGTGGCGTTTGATTACTCAGGTCGACGTCGCGAAGCAGGTGGCGGAGCGCGAGACGATCGAGCAGCGCAAGCTGCAGGACCTCGCCGTGATCCAAAAGGAGAAGGAGCTCGCGATCGCGCGCGCCGAGCTCGACATCCAGAAGGCGAATGCAAGCGCGGCTCGGTTCCAAGCCGACGCGATCGCCGCCAAGGGCCGCGCCGAGGCGGAGGTGCTGGCGGCCAAGTACAAGGCCAAGGCGCAGAACAAGGAGATCTTCCTGGCCGAGACGCAGCGCGACATGGCGACGGCGCTCTACTCCAACCTGAAGGACTTCAAGGTCGAGATGCCGCAGAACGTCATCGTAGGCGCGGGCGGCGCCGACGGCGGCGGCGCGGGCAGGATGCCGTCGAATCTCGACGTGATCACGAGCTTCTCGGCGCTCGGCCTGATGGAGAAGGCGGTGAGGAGCAAGGCGGCGGCGTGAGAAGGGGTGGAAGCCAAGGTTCAGCTCAAGGTTCCGCATGTTCATGTGACATGTCATGTGACTGCTGACTCACATACCGCTTGCTTTTTTTCGCATGCGCGGGCCCAAAGAAAGAAAGATATAAGCCACACGCGAAGAAGTGCCCCCCCCCCCCCACACACACACTCCCCCGTGGTACTCTGTGATCACTGCTGCTGCATGCCCGTTGGCGTTGCGTACGCACTCTCTATGCGCGCTGAGCCGCCTCCACCGCCATCCTGGCGGCCGCCGCCTTGGCCCTCGCAGCGGCAGTGGCCGCGCGCTTCTCCTTGGCAGCGGCCAGTTTCGCCTCGGCCGCCGCCGCTTCGGCCGCGGCCGCCGCCGCTGCCGCCGCCGCTGCCGCCGCCGCCGCCTCAGACACCGCTTCCTCCTCTGCGGCAGCCTCGTCCTCCGCCTCCGCCTCCTCCTCCGCCGCCTCCGCCTCCTCGGCCAGCCGCGCCGCCTCGGTCACCTCAGCCAACGCCGCTGCCTGGCTCTCCGGCGTGATGCCGAGCCGCATCCTTTCCTCGGTGAGCGTCTCGAGAAGCAGGAGGATCCTCGCCTCCTCGGCCTTCTTCGCCGCCTCGGCTGCGTCTACCTCCGACGGCGCCTCGGCACCCTCCTCGGGCTCCTGCGACGGCCCCGCCCCGCCCGCCCCGCCCTTCTTCTTCTTCTTGCCCTTCTTCCCCTTGCCGCGCTTCTCCGCCTCGACCTCCGCCAGCAGCTCCTCGGCGTGCCGCGCCGCCTCCTTCTCCTCTGCCGCCCTCTGCGCCGCCCTCTGCGCCGCGCCCGCGGCCCACGCCGCCTCCGCCGCTGCCTTCTCCGCCGCCTCCGCCACCTTCTTCGCCGCCTCCGCCGCCGCCTTCTCGGCCGCCGCATGCTCCGCGAGGGCGCGCACGCACTCGATGTGGCCATGCTTCTTGGCCCACTGCAGCGCGGTCCAGCCATCTGCACTGCACACCGTCACGTCTGCGCCCGCCCGCAGCAAGCAGAGGAGGGCGGCGGAGTGGCCGTGGAAAGCGGCCCAAATCAGTGCGGTGTCGCCGGTGTTGGACTGAAGGTTGATCTCCGCGCCGTGTCGCAGCGCCAACTCGACCAGCTTCTCGCGGCCATTCGCGGCGGCGAGACTCAGCGCGGTGGCGCCAACGCTGGTCTGCAACGAGAGATCAGCACCGCGCTGGAGCAGTGCGTCGGCCAGCCCCTCGTGGCCCTTCGTCATTGCGAGCATCAGCAGCGTCACGCCGCTCAAAGAGAGGCCGTCCGAAAAGACGTGCTCGTACGTTGCGTCGACCCGCCCGCCGCCGTCGAGCCACGCCAGCACCACCGCCTCGTCGCCGTCCTCGGCCGCGTCCACAACCTCCTCTGGCACCGCACCGCCGCTGCTCGGCTCGGCCTCCTTGCCACCCTCGCCGCTCGAAGCAGAGGCCGCGGCACTCGCACCCACCGCCGCGCCTGCGCCGCCTGCCTCGGCCGACGGCGCCTTGCTCCGGCGCGCAGCCACCTCCCCGAGGTACGTCTTGAAGGCCTGGACGCACTCGGCGTGGCCCTCCTCCTTGGCCAACTGCAGCGCCGTCGCGCCGTCCACATCGCGCAACGTCATGTCTGCGCCCGCCCGAAGAAGGCGGAGCACGACGGCGGGGCGGTTGAAGTAGGCGGCGAGAACCAGTGCGGTGCCACCGTTCTTGTGTTGCAGGTCGATCTCTGCGCCACGCCGCAGCAGCAGGTCGACCATCCGCTCTTGCCCACCCTGCGCCGCCGCTGCCAGCGCCGACCAGGCGGCGGAGTTCTGTGGGTTCAACTCCGCACCGTGCTGCAGCAGCATCTCCACCATTCGCTCGCGGCCGTGGTTGGCGGCAGTGCTGAGCGCAGTGAAGCCGCAACTGGTTTGGTTGATGTGCGCGCCACGCTTCAGGAGGAGCTCGACAATCTGCGCGTGCCCGCTCTGTGCGGCGATCATCAGCAGGGTGCGTGGAATCTGGCCGTGCTGAGACTCAGAGTTGAAGAGAGTGTCCGCCTTCCCGCCCTCATTCAGCCACGATCGCACTGGTCCCAAGCGGCCGTTCTCGGCCGCCTTCAGGACGTTCTTTGGGACTTCACCACCCGGCGCGCTGTCAGCAGACGGCGGCGGCGGCGTGCGGAGCGCGGCGTTGGCGCGGATGGGCGGGGCGGGCATTGTTGTTGGCGGCTGAGAGGCGGGCCACAGATTTCTTTTTTATCTCAAAAGAGAGCAAAACACGGCCGGACTAGCAACAGACCGGCACACTCTCAAAAGAAAGAGAGCTGCCCCATGTTTGCCCGGACAGAGCGGGCACGATGTGGAATGAGAGGATCCGCCGATGCCTTCAGAGGGAACGCACGAGAAAAGGAAAGAATGCCGCATAGCGCTTTAGCGCGGCCCGGGTTCTTTACAGGTAGTGCGTGAACTTCGAACTTCCGCCCCAGCGGAAGCCAGCACGACAACTTTACCAAACTTGGAACATGGAAAGTGCCGCGCGCGGCAGAGCCTCTCTGCTCGCCGCTGCGTGCGTCTGCCACAGCTTCTGTCGCCACCCGCCCTCCCCTGCGACCGAGGTGGGGGTCGTGGCGTGCAGGACGCCGCGCCTCGTTTGCACTCTGTCCTCCACAGGTCGCCTCTGGCGCCTGTACGGCGCACTAGCCCGTCACGCTATAATCGCTAGGGCGATGCCCGATGATGGTCGAGAGCGTGGCAGGACCACGGCAGCGTCTCTGACGCTAATCTAGAGAGGTCACGCCGCGATGATGATCGAGAGCGTGGCGCAGCCACGCCAGCGTCCTCGACGCGCTAATCTAGAGAGGTCGGCGACGGCCGACGCCACGCCTCTTCACACCTCTCTGTTCACAGGTCGCCTCTGGCACCTGTTCGGCGCACTAGCCCGTCCGTCACGCCAAGCGCCGGGTGCACCCGGACCCACCCGGAGGGGCCCGGGAAGGGTCTAGCGGCCCTCCAGCGGCCCCCAACGCCCCCCCGCGGCCCTGTTTTGGTAGTGTATCACACATATGTTGTGTCACTATCATACCCACGACCCAGGGTACCCGAGCGCTCCCGAGCAGCTATAAGGTCGAGCCGCTGGAATGCCTCCTCCAGTGGCACCCAGTCGCGCTCGAGGTACGGGAGGAGCATATCATACAGTTTCACTGCCCGAGCCTGCAGCTTGGCACACTCGTGGCACTTGTCCTCGTGGGCGAGCTGAATCCCGTAAACGTTCCGCATATCATCGAATTGCGCCTCGTTCAGGCCGGCGTCGATCATCCGACGGGTCACCCGACGTTCGAAGACGCTTTCCCGATCGCTGTCCGAAGACGCGTCGTCGGGACGGGAGTCGCTGGCCGGCAGGTCCTCGACCGCCGGCTCCTCCTCGACCGCGGGCTCCTCTGGCGTGGGCACGTCCTGCAACGTTTCTGGAACGACAGCGAGAAGCGCCTCCGCGCCCGCCTGCCGCCGCTTGCACTTGCCCAACTCCTTGTCCACGCCGCTCGCGTGCGTCTCGAGCCGCTTGCCGTACACGACCGCCTGCTCGAGTCGCGCGCCCGCCAGCTCGCCGCGTAGGTCCCACACAAGGTACGCCAGCGCAGCCTTCTTCAGGTTCTTTATCTGGAGAGCCATCAGCGCGCCGCGCCGCTGCGACGAAAAGAGCGTGTTTACGGCAGCTTTCGCGGCGATGATGATGCCGTTGGTGACCTCGCCGACGATGCTGACCTCGTTGGAGGGTGCGGGGACGGGTTGGTTGCCGAGGAGCATGGTCTCGAGGCGATTTAAGAGCGCGGTGGGCTCCAAGGCGAGCTGCGCCGAACTGGAGCGAGTCGGCCGCGCCCGAATTGCTGGCACCGCATCGGCGCCGGTCGAGTCCGACACGACCGCGGTCTTCTCCACCGGCTCGAGGTTCGCCATCCGCGGCGCTGCACCGCGGATTCGAACGGCTGCTCGCTCCTGCTCGGCGGCTGGCCTGTCAGCACGGCGCTTCGAGAGGGCGGTCGCCGTCGGTGCACGTTGACTATCATGGCGAGCGAGCAGCCCCGCAGTGAGTGGATGCAGCCCACCGGAGGTACTGTCTGAGGTGGGGCCCGGCGCGTGAGGCTCGTCGGCGTCCGCCATCACCGCCTGCGGCCACTGCAGAGTCGGCCAAACCAGGCTTGATTTTGGCCATTTTGGCACGGACCCTTGCGGACTCTTCACAGCTGGGTCCCGGTGCACCCGGCGCTAGGGCAATGTGCGATGATGATCGAGAGCATGGCGCAGCCACGCCAGCGTCTCCGAAGCTAATCTAGAGAGGTCGGCGACGGCCGATGCCGCGCCTCTTCACACCTCTCTGTTCACAGGTCGCCTCTGGCGCCTGTTCGGCGCACTAGCCCGTCACGCCATGCGCTAGGGCAATGCGCGATGATGATCGAGAGCGTGGCGCAGCCACGCCAGCGTCCTCGACGCTAATCTAGAGAGGTCGGCGACGGCCGACGCCGCGCCTCTTCACACCTCTCTGTTCACAGGTCGCCTCTGGCACCTGTTCGGCGCACAAGCCCGTCACGCCAAGCGCTAGGGCAATGCGCGATGATGATCGAGAGCGTGGCGCAGCCACGCCAGCGTCTCCGACGCGCTAATCTAGAGAGGTCGGCGACGGCCGACGCCGCGCCTCTTCACACCTCTCTGTTCACAGGTCGCCTCTGGCACCTGTTCGGCGCACTGGCCCGTCACGCCAAGCGCTAGGGCAATGTGCGATGATGATCGAGAGCATGGCGCAGCCACGCCGGGCGCGGAACTATGTGTCGGGACCCTCGCGCCCCCAGGCGCCCGAGTCCCGTTCTCGTCTGCGATTTTGTGTGTTGGTATCGTCGCGATGCTACGCCAGTGGGACACTGGCGAGGCTCTTCGAGCCGACGGTGCTGCTGCAGTCCCACACGTTCCGCCGCAATACCGCGCCGCCGCTTTCCGCACATTGCTAGATGGTCTGTGGCCGCCGCAACGCCAGGCACCAGCCCCACACACGCGCCTGCCATAGCTCCTGGAGAGCACGCGCGAGTGGTGTGCTGCAAGCCGCGAGAGTGGCATATCAGAGGCAGAAACGACCTGCTCTCTTGCTCCTCACAGCTCCAACGCGTGTGCTCGCAATCTACGCCGCGGCCTCCGCCTACGGCATTGCTCTCGCGCAGCTCGGCGACGCAGGTCCATCAGCAGGGCTCATCCAATGCGAGCGCACATTGTGCGTAGCCGCGGGCAGGCGGCAGTGCACAGCCGCACACCGGCTGTGGCGGCTCGTATGCCCCGGGCAGTCCAATGCTGGTCATTAACTTGCGTATTGGGGCCGCAGCAGACTGCTGCTGTGGCAGCAGCAGCAGCCTGCTGCTGCCTGATTCAGTCAATCCGCGGTGCAGCGAGGCGTGCAGAATTCGCGTGTGGTTTTGTCCCTCCTGAGGCTGAGCGCATTTTCAGGCCCGGCGACCGGAGTTTTGTGGATGTGGATTGTGGTTCGATGGAGCTCGCCGAGCTCCATCCATCGAACCTACCATCCATGGCCGGACGGCGGAGCGTGAGGTGGCGAGCGGAGAGATGTACCGCAAGGCAAGAAAACCACGCCCAGGCCGCCCAGGGGCAGGGCCATCTCGCCGGCATCCGATCCGCGATCGGGCTTCGCGGCGGGCGGGGCGCCACTGGGCCAGGCCCGTCGTGCGGTTCCAGTGCGGAGCCCGAGAGCGCCCCGCGACGCCCGAGGCCGCCCCAGGCGCCAGGGCTGGACCTAGTCCGTTATTAACTCTAGTCGACAAGGAAGTGGGTTGCTGTTAAAGCCGTACACCATACGTCCCTGCGAGAGACCGCCCCACTTCCACTCGCCACTCACCCCAAACCCCACAAACCGTGTTCCTGTATCAATTCACTGCATACTCAGTGCGCGGCCGGCGATCCCTCATCTGCTTTTCTCCGCTCTCGCGGTCGAGCACTGCAGCCTTCGAGTCACCTGCGTAGCCAGCGCAAACCTGCGACCCCTCACACATGCTGCTCTGCCCGCGATGGCGGCGTGTTCTCGTTGCCTGCAGGGCAAGGGAGCCGCGGCGGCGGTGCCGCCATCGAGCCGGCCGTCGCAACCTCTCCGCAGCGCACGGAGCCGCCGAGACTAGGCCTCGGCAGCCTGGATCTGTCGCCCTGGAGGGCGCACGAGAGCCGCCCGTTTGCCGGCAGCCCTCCGCCAAGCTTCGGCGGCTGCGGCAGCAGCGACTCTCGGCGATTGGGCGGCTTGGGCGGCCCGGCCGCGGCACCCCCCCCGAGGACGGCGACGAAGGGCTTGCTCGGCTGCGTCGTCCGCTTGGGGGGCTGCGGCAGCCTCGAAACGGACGGGGCGGTGCCGTTCGGCAACTGCGACGCGGTCGCGGCCCGGCGCGCCTGGGAGGCCTTGTTCTCACGCGGCGAGTGCGCGGCGCGAGGCGAGGCGCGAGGCGACGCGCGCGGGGAGGCGCGCGGGGAGGCGCGGGAGGTCGTCGCCTCCGCCTCCGCCTCCGCCTCCTCCGCCTTGCACCGCCGCCATTCGGCACGCGCGACCGACGCCTTTGTCTCGCGTGGGGGGCCGGTGTTGCCGACTGCAGCGCGCCGCTCGGCAGAGCCGCGAGGCGTGGAGCCCGCGCCCTGAAAGAGGCGCGAGACCGACCTGAGAACCTTCGACGAGACGGTCCCGCGCTTCTCGCTGGATGGCGTCGCCGCCGCGTGCGGCGGCGGCTTTGGCGGCGTGCCCGACGGCGGCGTCGGGGGGAAGGCCTCCGGCCGGCGGGGTGAGGTCGGCTTTGGCGCTGGCTGCGAGAGCGAGCGGATGAGGCGCTCCTGCTCGACCTTCTCGCGCCGGAGCGCCTCGAGCTCGGCGGCCTGCGCGGCGATCTTCCCCTCTTGCTCACCTGCTCGCGCCCCGAGCTTCTCCGCCAGCTTGATGGCGGACACGACGTCATTGCGCGTCTTCTCCGACTCCTCCTGCTGCGTCCGCTGCGCGGCGAGCAACTCAGCCTCGCGCCGCACGCGGCGAGACATCGCCACCGCGCGCCAGCGGGCCTGCAGCCGGATGGCCGCAAACTCCGGCGGCAGCGGCGCCGTCAAGCAGCCCGCGCTCAGCGCCGACGCCGCCTGCGCGTACCGCGCGCGCAAGTTGGCGCGCTCGCTCTTGGCGGCGGCGCTCTTGGCGGCGAGCAGGTCGGCAAAGGTGCGCGCCGCCACGGCCCTCCGGACCGTGCACTGGATACGGACGGCGGCCGCCCGGCGCGCCTTCTCTGCTAGGCGCGCCACCAGCGCCGCGGCTGCCTTCTCTCTCGCCGCCACGCGCTGGCGCGCTAGCGCCTCGCGGACCACTGTTGACCGCTGGCGCGCCGCGCGGCGGCGCGCCGCGCACTGCAGCACGATCGCGGCGGCACGCTGGCGCGCGAGTTCTAGGAAGGCGAGACTGCTCTTCCGCGCCGCCTCCTTTCGCTCCCGCGCGGCCGCCGCGGCCGCCGCCCGCTTCTGGCTCGAGAGCTGGCGGAGGTGCTGCACCTCGCGCCGTGCCAGGGCGGCGCGCGCTCCCGACTGCAGGCGCGTCGCCGCGGCGCCGCGCTGCCGCGCCTCGGCCTTCGCAGCGCGCTCCGCCTTTGCCGCCTGCTGCCGCGCCTCGCGCGCCTCCACGGCCGCGCGGCGGGCTGCCTCGTTCGACTCGCGCAGCGCGGCGACGGCGCGGCGGCTCGCGAGCATCCGCACGGCCGCCTGCACGCACACCGCCGCGCGGCGCGCCGAGTTGAGCCGGTCCGCCGCCTCGCGTGCAGCCTCGAGCGCGCGCCGCAGCTCCTCTGCCCGGACGAGCCGCAGCTCCTCGCGCGCCGCCGCCGCCTCGCGCCGCGCCGCCCAGCGGCGGGCGACCGACTGCGCGACGACCACGCTCCGGATGCGACGCGCCTACCCTCAGGGCGAGAGGGTGAACGCTCGGGGGACAGGACTCGATCTCCGCGCTCTGCGTGCGCGGCCGCGCCTCGCGCGCGGCGCGCCGGACGGCGAGGAAACTGCGCGCGGAGCGGACGAGCCGCGACGCGGCCGCCGACTGCTCGGACGACTCGCGAAGGAGGCGGCACCGCGCAAGCCTGCCGCGCGCGCGCGCCTGCACAGCGACTGCAGTGTCTAGGAAGTGTCTAGGAAGTGTCTAGGAAGTGTCTAGGAAGGGCCTGCACAGCGACTGCAGCGGCGCGCGCCTACACGACACGTCATGGACAAGTCATGGGACGCGTCCCCGACATCTCTACGCCACCGCGGCTGCGGTGCGCGCCGCGCGCAAGCGAGCCCGCTCGACGCGCCCTCGCTCCGCCGCAGCCAGCGTGCTCGCACTCGCATGCTCCAAGAGGCGCCGCCTAGCGCCGCCAGCCCAGCGGCGTGCCGCGGGCAGCGAGAGAGCGAGCGCGCGTGAGCGCAGCGCGAGGGCCGCCAGCCGCCGCCGCGCGACGATGCGCCGCTGCAGCCAGAGGGAGGCGCTGACGGCGGCGGTGGCGCGCACCCAGCGGCGGCGCGCGACGTATGCGCGGACGCGGTCGAGGATGGCGGCGACGTCGGCCTGCGAGCCGTGCATCAGCTCGTCGAGCGTCGCCATCGCGCCGGCGGAAAAGAAGACGCGCCGCACGCCTGCAGGGAGGGCGGAGGGGAGGGTCCGAGAAGCTCTTCCACAACTCGCCTGCTCCATCCGCTTGCCGCACGCACCGAGCGCAAAGTCGGCGACCGGCTTCGCGGCGGTGGCGGGCTCGAGGCGCAGCGCGGCGAGCAGCGCGGCGACGAAGTCGCGCGAGGAGAGAGTCGGCGAGAAGCCGGGCAGTAGCGGGCGGTACCGGCTCGCGAGCGCCTCGAATTCACAGCGCGTCGGGTAGCCGCGCCCCATCAGCTGCAGCAGCTGCGGCGTGCCGGCGCAGCGCAGCTGCTCGAGCACGAGCGGCAGGTCGAGGCAGCCCGCCGCCTGCGGGAGACGCAGCCGAGGTGCAGCTGTGGGGACACGGACGGGACATGGCCGGGACACGGCCGGCCGCCTGCGCGGCGTTCGGCTTGACGCAGCGGACATAGTGCGGCGTCGTCGCCCCGAGTGTGGCCATCAGCGACTCGAGCTGCTTGGAGAAGCCTCCCGCCAGGCCGCGCACCCGCAGAGAGCCGCGCGCACTCGACTTGCGACGCCCGCCGCCGGCCTTGCCGCCGGCCTTGCCGCCGGGCGTGCCGCCGGGCGTGCCGCCGGCCTTGCCGGCGGGCGTGGCGGCGGGCGTGGCGGCGGGCGTGGCGGCGGGCGTGGCGGCGGACGGCGCGTCGGCGCCGCCGTCGCGGGATGTGGCGAAGAGGGATGCGAGCAGCGGGTGGGCCGACGTCTGGAGGAGCAGCGGCAGCTCGGGGTGGAGCGCGTCGAGGTTCTTGGACAGGAAGCCGGACGCCTCGTACTCGACCTCGCCCGCGTAGTGCGCGACGACGAAGCGCGTGCCGTCGGGCGGCGCGGACTTGCGTGCAGGCATGCGCCGCCCGCTGGCGAGGATCACGTCCGGCAGCCGGATCGAGGCGTGCTCGCGGTGCGAGCCGAAGAAGCGCGCCACGAGCGTGTGGTCGTTTGCCTAGGGAGGGGGTCGGAGCAGGGTCCGAGCGGGGCCACACTTGAACCGCCATCTCGTCGGTATCTCGACTATATCTCGCTCGCCTGAGGCACGCACCCCTCGTCCTCGATGATGCAGAGGAGCCCGCCCGGCTTTGCCTGAAGGAGACATAGAGATCTAGCCGAGATCTAGCCGAGATCTAGCCGAGATCTAGCCGAGATCTAGCCGAGACCCGAGATGATGCAGAGGGGCGGCTCTGCCTGCACGAGCTCGAGGCACGCCGAGTTGTTGGGCAGCTGGATGGCCGGCACCTGACAGCGAACCCACACCCGCCTCACCACTTCTCGGCGACGAGTCTGCTCGCCCCCCTCTCGGCGGTGACCGCACCGGCACGCCCTCGTCCGCGTACATGGCCAGCTCGGCCCGCATGGTTCGGTCGAGGAAGAAGTGCTGCAGCGACTCGTTTGTGTGGTTGATGAGCAGCTGCTCGAGCGAGTTCACGCCGAGCGACTCGAAGCCGAAGATGTCGAGGATGGCGATGTAGCAGCTGCCCCCGACGTAGCAGCTGCCCCCCTCCTCCGCGCTCGCGCGGGCGGGCACGGACCCGCTCGCGCTCGCGGCGGTGCTCCCGGCAGCGGGTGCGGCGGACGGCGCGGCGAGCGACGTGTTGATCCTCCGCACGAGCCAGCCGAAGAGCCGCTCGTACAGCTCGCGCGCCAGCCCGTCGCGCGCGCCTAATCTCGTGCCATCTCGCCTCATCTCGCGCCATCTCGCGTGCAGTCTCTCACGCGACAGCCATCGCGCGCGCCGTCGGCGAGGGAGCGGTCGTACCGGACCGAGTACATCGACCCGCGGCCCGAGTGGACCTGAGTCGTCCGTTGAGCTCGCAGTGAAGAGCACTCCCTCACGGCGCAGCAGGGCCTCGGCCCGAGTCGCGCCGTCCGCGAGTGAGCCCTCGGAGAGAAGTCTCGCTCACCACCACCACCACCACCACCACCACCACCACCACCACCACTACTACCACTACTACTACTACAACGGCACCGTCCGCGAGGTGAGGCGCTGCTCGAGTCCGGCGGCGCCGATGCCGAGCAGTGCCGCGGCTGCCTCGAGGTCGGCCCTCCTCTCGTCCGCCACCTGCGGTGTGGCGACGCGAGGGTGGCGACGGGAGGGTGGCGACGGGAGGGTGGCGACGGGAGGGTGGCGACGGGAGGGTGGCGACGGGAGGGTGGCGACGGGAGGGTGGCGACGCGAGGGTGGCGACGGGAGGGTGGCGACGGGAGGGTGGCGACGCGAGGGTGGCGACGCGAGGGTGGCGACGCGAGGGTGGCGACGCGAGGGTGGCGACGGGAGGGTGAGGGTGCGAGCGCGAGGGGTGCTAGACACAGTGGGAGTGGCTGGGAGGCCCGCTGTCCGCATCTACGGCCCTCCGCCTTGGCCTTGTCTTGCTCGTCGTCGGCGAAGTGGAGGTTCCCGAGCAGCAGAACCGCGCCCAGGATCTGCGCCGCCGACTGCACCTCTCCGCGCGACGCGCCGAGGGCGCCCAAGGCGGACACCACGCTCGCAAACTCAGCTGCCGGCGAGCTGCAAGGCGGGTGAGGACGGACGGAGGCGGGCGGGCGTCAGGCGGGGCGTGAGGTGGGCGAGGGTGGAGAGAGGGGGAGGGGGAGGGCGAGGGCGAGGCATGTCTCGGCGTCTGGCGCGGTGGAATGCGGCGCGGGTGTGCGGTGGAAGCTTCGCGGAATCGGGAGGCTTGTCGGGAGGGTCGCCTGGTGCTGCCCCACGCCTCGTTGTGCGGCGCCGCGTCGCCGCCCTGCGCCGCCTCGCCGCTCGGGCAGAGCAGCCGGAAGGCGCCCGCGCCGCCGCCGCGGGCGGCCTCTGTCACCGCCGCGAGCGGCGCCCAGTCGATTGCGGCGGCGGCAGCGGCGGCGGTGGCGTCGGTGCCAGCGCCGGCAGCGGCGGCGGCAGCAGCGATGTAGTAGAGGACGTGGAAGGTGCGCTCGCCCGGCGCGTGGTTGGAGACGCGCCCCTTCTCGAGCAGGTACGTCTCAATGGACGAGTGCGAGAAGGAGGCGCCGCCGGCCGCCGTCCAGATCCGCATCAGCTTGCCAAAGCGCGACGAGTTCTTGTTGCGGAGGGTCGAGGCGCAGCCAAAGGCCTCGAGCAGCGGCGAGGCGCTGAGCATTGCGGTGCACAGGTCCTCCGCCTCCTCGCGCGAGTGGTGCGCCAGGTAGTCGACGATCGCGCGGCAGCTCTCCGTCTTGCCGGCGCCGCTCTCGCCGCTCACGACAATCGACTGGCTGCGGCGGTCCGAGAGGATCATGCGGCGCGCGCGGTCGGCGAGCGCGAAGACGTGCGGCGGCAGCACGCCGATTGCGCGGCCGCGGTACGCGTCCATCGCCTCGCGCGAGTAGAGCTCGGCCAGCGTCTTGTACGGGTTCACGGCGAGCAGGACGGGGCCGACGTAAGTGTAGATGCGGTCGTGCGCGTAGCGGCGCGCAATGTTGTCGAGCAGACTGGGCTCGTTGAGGAACGCCAGCGACGCGGCGTCGGCGACGCCCTCCTCCGGCTCCGCCTCGGAGCGCGGGCACACGTCGGCGGCGGTGAGCTGCACGGGGTCGCCGCCGGTGTCGCACGGCGTGACGGTGACAGGGCCGTCGCCCAGGTCACTGCAGTGCCCACGGAGGAAGGGCTCGCCCGCCGAAGGGGACGGGTTGGGGTAGAAGACGGGGCGGCGCGAGGTGGTGGCCGAGGCCGACATCGCTTCAAACCAAACCAGGCAGAAAAAATTCATCTAACGGCGGACAGAAGTGATGACGGCCAGGATGACGGCACGCACGCTGGGGCGACACACTGTCTCGCTGCACGGCCTAGTGTCGTGCGAGGTTCGAGGAAAATTCTTTGCCCTCACTCCGCCGCGCCATCGTTCGCCGCCGTGGCAAGCTCCCGCGTGGGCCTGCGCCGGCCGTCCAACCAGTTCTCGTCCGACCGGGCCCGCAGAGGCTCTGTCTGCCTGTCTGCATGCGGCGCTGCGCTGCCGCCAACCTCCGCCTCCGCTCCCTGCAATGCCGCCGCCTCAGCTCGCGCTCTTCCACGTCGCCCGCCGTCGTCTTCCTGGTCGCCGGCGAAGCGTCGGGCGACGTCATAGGCGGTCGCCTGATGCGGGCACTGCGCAACGAGTACGGTGGCGCCATCCACTTTGAGGGTGTCGGAGGCGATTCGATGCGCGCCGAAGGGCTAGCCTCCTCCCTCTTCCCCATGTCGGAGCTCAGCGTCGCCGGCTTTGCCGAGGTGCTCCCGTCGCTACCACGCATCGCTGCCCGGCTCGTGCAGACACAGCGCGCAGTCCGGCGTGCGCAGCCGCACGTCGTCGTCGGGATCGACTCAAAGGGCTTCAACCTCCGCCTGCTCCGCTCGCTCGCACATCGCCGCGCCGCCGCCGGCCGCAACGGCATCCCAGCGGCGCCTGTCCTCGTCCAGTACGTCGGCCCGTCGGCGTGGGCCTTCGGCGACGCAGACGCGCGGGCGGCGCGGCTGCGCGGAGGCGTGGACGAGCTCCTCGTGCTGCTGCCATTCGAGGAGGCGGCCGCAGCAGCGTTCGCCCGCCCCGCCCCGCAGCCCCGGCCCTCCTCCCCGCCCTCGCGCGCCAGCTTCCACCGGAGCACTCGCTGCCCACGGCCCCGCGCCTTGCCCCACCCCGAGGCGCTCTTTCGGCGCGCCGGAGTGCCCGCCACCTTTGTCGGACACCCGGCGCTCGACGACGTGGCGATCGGAGGCGAGCCGCCGGGCACGGCGGCGGAGCGGGCGGCCGAGGCGGCGGCCTTCCGGCGCGAAGTCGGCCTCTCGCCGTGCGCGCAAGTCCTCTGCTTGCTGCCTGGTAGCCGTGCGCAAGAGGCGTGCGACTGCGGTGTGCGAGGCCAGTGCGTGCCTCTCGGCCACTCCGCGCGTCGCTGGGTCTCCAGGTGAGGGCGATGCTGCCGCTGCTGCTGCGTGGCGCGGAGAGGCTCGCCGAGCGGCGGCGGCGCGGCGAGGCGCTCTCTAGCCGCTGGGCCGGTCTCGCTCGAGGGGCGGCGGACACGCATGTCCGCGACACGTCCACGACATGTCTTGGGGCACGTCCCACAGGTCTCGCTCGAGGGGCGGCGGACACGCATGTCCGCGACACGTCCACGACATGTCTTGGGGCACGTCCCACAGGTCTCGCTCGAGGGGCGGCGGACACACAGGCGGCGGGAGGCGGCCCCGACCGGTCGCGAGTGCTGCCGCATCTAGGTCCGATCGAGCTGGTCGTGCCCGCGGCGCCGGGGATGCGCGGCGAGGTCGATCGCATCGTGCTCGAGACTCTGGCGGGAGGCGCAGCGAGAGGCGCAGCGGGAGGCGTGAACAGGAGGTGTGAACGAGAGGTGTGAACAGGCAGCGAGAGGCACAGCGGGAGGCGGCGCGCGCTGCAGCGTGGTTGGGAGCGGGTCTCGCCGGGCTGCTTTCGGCGCCGCGGACGTCGCCATCGCCGCTTGCGGCACGCCGCTCGTCGCCGCGACGCGCCGAGTGGGGAGGGGTTTGGCTGAGCGGCGTTGTGGGCCTTAGGCACTGCGTTCCTCGAGCCGCTGCCCACCCCTCCCTCCCGGCGGCCCCACCGCACGCCGCCGCGCCGACAGGCACCATCAACCTCGAGCTCGCGGCGGCGGGGGTGCCGCAGGTGGCCGTCTACTCGACCAGCTGGCTGACGGGCTTCGTGATCCGGCGGGACACGCCCCTCCACTGCCCTCGCGGCAGGCCGTAGGGTACCCCAGGCCGCCCGCCCGCGCCACCCCTCCTCGCCACCCCTCCTCCCCGCGCCGCAGGCGCCTCCTCCGCCCTGTCCTCCGGCACGCCTCCCTCCCAAACATCCTCGCCGGCCGCACCCTCCTCACCGAGCTCCTCTTCGAAGACTGCACGCCGTGCCGCATCGCCGAAGAGGCAGACTTCCTCCTCGCCCGCCCCTCCCTCGCCCGCGCCGAGGCGGCTCAGATTCGGCAGCTGGTGCTGCCTTCCCTCCGCGCCGTCGGTGACGGCGGCGAGCCGCAGCTTGCAAGCCGCGCAGCCGCGCGCGCTTTGCTCCGCCACCTGCCCGAGGCGCAGACTTGTACGTTGTAGAGACTCCGTAGTGCGTGAGGGTCAGTCAGTCTTACACACCTCCAAGCATGGAGGACGGGCCCACACGCACACACACGCTGCACACGATTGGCTCGGGAGCCGACACGAGGCACGCTGTCACCGGCCGTAGCACTGGGTCCGGACTGCTGGACACACACAGCACACAGCTCACAGAACAGCTCACGAGGTGGCGCTGTATAGTGGGGTTCTCAGGGACCGACACAGGAGAAGAAGGTGGGGCACAGGGACAGGACACAGGACTCACGAACTGATATCCCAACCCGCGCCGGGGGCGGTGGCGCGCGCGAGCGCCGGGGTGTTTGGACCCGCAGTCTGGCAGGCGCCAGGCCACAGATCCGCCGGCAGAGCCTTCAAGCCAAAAAAACTGTTCAGTTTTCAAAGGCAAAAACGCCAGCCTACGCCCTCCCCTCACACTGACACTTCTCCCCTATTCCCGTCTTTAGGTTGCGCACATCTCCCAGCGAGCTAGGTTCTCCGCTTTTTCTCCCCTAGTCATCTGCCCGCGCCGCGCGCCTCTGTGGGCGTCTAGTGCAGCCACTGACAGAACTGTTCCAAAGGAGTGGTCAACGTCTCGCCTGAAGTCGGGTGGGCTCGCGCACTGCTTAGCCCTAGGGGAGGGGTGTGTGTGAGGTGTCGGAATGGTAAGGTTTCAGGCCGCCAAGGTGTGGGGGATTTGGGGGATGAGTCAGGAGCCAGCAGCCTTCCTGCTGGACCTGAGTTCACAGCTCCTCCGCCCGACGGGGTGGTCCCTTGGATTCGGGCCCCGCTCCCTTTTCCTGCGCCTGGTCTGTCCCTGTCAAGTGTGTGTTGCGAGATGCAGAGCTGGTTAGGCTGGAGCGCGGGCGGTGCGGTGGCAGGCGAGGGCAGCGCGGTAGGCGAGAGGCGGCCGCGGGGCTTCGAGTGGCGCGATAGGAGGGTAGGCTGGCTGTGGAGGGGCGCCGCGTGGCCTCGGCAAATGAGTAGTGCTTTATGAGCGGCCAGTTTTGTGCGTATTGCATATCGAGCCTGCGGTGTGGCCTAGTTGGTGCAGCGTTCGGGTCGGGGACGTTTTGGTCGTTGGTTCGAGCCCAGCTGGTGCAGTTCGTAGTCGCGTAGCGCGCGGGTGCGCGGCAGCCTCGGCAACCGAGGCGACAGTGGCGAGCAGGGGCGAGCAGGGGTCAGAGCAGTGCGGCGCGCCCAATTTTTTTCGATGGGCTCGGTCAGTGGGCGTGTCAGGAGGCGGCCGGCCGGGAGAAACTCGGCAGTAAAACTCCCGCGCCGGCCCAGGAGGTGGGAGTGTCACGGAGGCGGCCATTGGCGCGCGCTCCTTGTCTTCGTGGGTCCGAGTTTTTTTTGAGAGCGAGAGAGCAGAGCCTTCAAGCCGCATCCGCGATCCGCGCCGGCTCTCAGAAGAGATCCGGCGCGGTGCTGACCGCGTCCTCGCAGCGGACCACCGAGTTCACGATGATGTCCGAGGAGAAGCGGTGAAGCTGCGGCACGATGCGGTAGTCGCACAATGCCGCATTGCGGTTTGCGGCACTCCTGCTGCAACGCGCACCTTGTGACGGTGCCCTGGCAAAATCGTCCCGATTTCGATGCGCGATTTAGCTAAGTCCCAGAGCCGTTTACGCATGAGCGGGCCCCCTCACCAGCCTAGGGCTCGCGCTTCTGGCCCGAGGTGTCGCCGCTGCCTCCCGCGCCCTCCGGCGCCTGCTGCTACTGCCGGTCGGCCGGTCGGGTCCGCGCGACGGCTCCATCCTCGAGACGTAGCGGTCGCTGAGCGCTTTCTCGACCGCTACGTCTTCCAGTGCACCCTTCACCGCGACCCTCGAACCTGCGCTGCGCGGCGCAGTTGCTGCCGAGCGAGACGCCCCCGCCCGCGCAGGGGCGGCATCACCAGACGCTACCGCATGGCCGAGCAGCGAGCAGTGTGTGCCGCAGTGCCCGTCCGGGCCCTTTTGCAGCTGCCTCTATTGGGCGTAAACCGCGGATATAAGGGTCTATACGGAGGTGGGTGGCCTCTTAGAGGTATGGGAGCCGCTGGCACCGCGCTTGGCGCCGCGGATGCACGTACGAACGAACATTATGAAATCGGGACGATTTTGACCCAAAAATCACAAGGTGCGCGCGGCGGTGAGGAGAGCGCGAGCCCTTGAGCTGCTGGAGTCAGTCCATCGCCCGCGCATGCGCGCTGGCCTTGAGGTGGTTCCACCAACAACTGGCCCAGGGGTTGTGACCCTGCGCAAAGCGCAGGAATTTGCCGAGCGCGCCCTTGGTCCTAGGGCCCCGCTCGGGGAGTTGAAGGCGGCCGCCGTGGTGCGCGTAAGGGTTCCGGAGAACCTCTTGGCACCACGCGAGTGGCGGCCGCCACTCCGACGCGCCGCCGGTGGCGCCGCGCAGAGCGCGCAACACCAACACCACCAGAGGTGCGCCCAAAAGCCACGGGGGTGAGGGTAGAGTAAATAAACAAATAAAACGGACATACTAGGAGATGGGTAAAAAGGAACAGTTCCCCGCCCTGCGATCTTTGTGCAGGGTTCTTTGTGGGTGTGATCCAGATCGGCGACTTAGCCGGGGTCGTCCTCCCGATCGATGGGGGACTAGAGCACACTAGCCGTCTTCCACATGGTCCCTCGGGATCGTCGTGGCATGTTGGGCGAGCCGAGGAGATCGGCCGCCGAGAAGAGATCCCCGCGGAACTTTTTTTATCATTTCACAGGTGACTAGACGCTCTCGACGCACGAACAAGAAGTGCTTCATTGTTCTAATGTACCGTGCTCTGCTGTCTCGGACCAGACTAGGACAGACTACAGGCATGGATCGAGCGGGACGCTCATCATCAACCGTCAAGCAAGACAAGCCCACTCACTCCGCGCGCCGCAAGCCCGCCTCCACGTCGGTCACGCCCCTACCCTCGCCACGTCCGTTGCACTACTGGACGCGGGCCCTCCTCCTCGTCCATTGCGAGGCCATCGACGGTGCAAGCGAGCACGGGTGGCGCGTCGATCTGCGCAGGCGGATCGCGAGGCACAGTCCCCTGCCAAGCCGCTTCGACGATCGCCAGGTGCGGCCTGGCGGACGCCGGCCGCGCGGCCCTCACACACCCAACCGCTCCGGCGCCCACGCCTCTATCTTCTTGGGCAGAAGCTTGTTCGACAAGTCATCTCCGTGGCCTAGGTTGCCTCCTCCTGCCCCCCCCCCCTCCCCCCCCTTGCCCCAGGTAAAGACAGCGCCGTCGGAATTGGTGGCGATGCTGTGGTCGCCACCAGCCGACACAGCGACCACACACCGCCCAGCGAAGGCCTCGACCTTCTTGGGCAGCAGCTGGTTCTGCTCGTCGCCGTGGCCCAGCTTGCCCCAGCCTCCACAGCCCCAGCTCCAGACGGCGCCGTCGGCGGTGAGGGCGAGGCTGTGATCTTCCGCCGAGACAGCGATGACGCGCTGGCCAGCCAAGGCCTCAACCTGCTTCGGCAGCAGCTGCCTCTGGTTGTCGCCGTGGCCCAGCTTGCCATCGCCCGCACCGCCCCAGCTCCAGACGGCGCCGTCGGCGGCGAGGGCGATGCTGTGGCTGTCTGCTGCCGACACAGCGACGATGCGACGCCCAGCCAAGGCCTCGACCTCCTTCGGCAGTAGCTGGCGCTGCTCGTTGCCGTGGCCCAGCTTGCCATAGTCTCCATCGCCCCAGCTCCAAACTGCGCCGTCGGCAGTGAGGGCGAGGCTGTGGTCGTATCCAGCCGACACAGCGATGACGCGCTGCTCAGCAAAGGCGTCGACCTTCTTGGGCAGTAGCTGGTCCTGCTCGTCGCCGTGGCCTAACTGGCTCCAGTATCCCCAGCTCCAGACGCTGCCGCCGGTGGTGAGGGCGAGGCTGTGCAATTGTCCAGCCGACACAGAGACGACGCGCTGGCCAGCAAAGGCCTCGACCTTCTTGGGCAGCAGCTGGTCCTGCTCGTCGCCGTGGCCTAACTGGCCAAAGACTCCATCGCCCCAGCTCCAGACACAGCCATCCGCGGTGAGGGCGAGGCTGTGGCGCTCTCCAGCCGACACGCTCACGGCGCGCTCGCCGCCCAAGGGGGAGGGGAGGCGCGTCGGCGTGTTGAGCTGCGTCACGCCCTCACCGTGGCCAAGCAGCCCTGGATTCCAGTTCGGCGCATTGCCGCACGACGAGAGCCGCCCCTCGCCGTCGATGAAGAGGCTGTGCCGTTCGCCTGCCGCCGCCCTCGCCGGCGGGTTGGACTCGCGCAGCAGCGCCGAATAGCACAGCCACCGCACGGCGCAGCCCTCGCCCTCGGGCTGCGCCGGAAGCTCGAAGCCGCGCTCTTGCGCCCACAAGCGGATGCCCTGCTCCGCGAGCGAGGCGTGGAAGAGCAGCGAGACGGCCGCGGCGCGAGCGATGTCGACGGGGCTGTCGCAGCGAGAGAGGGCGCGCTCGAGGAGCTCCCTGGGGAGGTCGAGGAGGCGGGCGGGCGGCGGCGTCTCTGGCGAGGGAGTGGTGGCGGCAGTGGCGGTGGCGAGGCGGCGCGAGCGGCGGCGCAATGGGGTGGACATCGCGAGAAAAAGAAAAGCGCGGACACTATACCATATCGGCACCCGATCCTCCCACATGCACCTTTTTGTGGCATCGGCGACTCGCCTGGGGCCGGCATGTCCCTGAATCTATCGGCGCCCGGCTGTATCTCGAGATTCTCGAGGTGGATATCCTTTGGCCGCGTTGGGTGTAGCGAGGATTGGTGTGACGCGATCCACGCAGGCGTGTTTTCTGGCGGCCGACCGTCAGTGCACGGAGTTGCCCCTTCTCCGACTGCCCCGGCTAGTTCCCGAGGTCGTCGGGTGTGACCCCTGCGTCCCCCGGGACCTAGCGCGGGTGGGTTGGAGGGGGGCTCGCTGCGCAGGGAAGGCCACGGAAGGGCTGTGTACGGCTTTAAGAAGCCGATCCCCGTAGTCCGCCCCGCTCCTCCCCATCGGGCCGCATGAGCGGCCGCGCCTCGCAGATTCGTTTTCGCGCCTGGGTCAGTACAACTAAAGCTTTACACGTACAGATGCCCTACACGCTACAGTTGTAAGACTGCCGACTATACACATCGAATACTCCTCTACTCTATTATATCCTCTCTTTACCCTAACCACCGGAGGTAGCCGTAATCGTAGAAAGAGAGGGAGAGAGGGAGAGAGGGAGAGAGGGGAGAGGGTGAGAGGGAGAGAAGGCTGAAGGGGAGAGGAAGTGAGGAGGAGAGGGGAGAGAAAGGGAGAGAGGGAGAAAGGGACCTGTCCGCGCGGTTCCGAAGCGCTCCCAGACACTTGTCGCCGCAGTCCAGCCGGAGTCGCGTGTCGTCGCTCACGTGGGAGGAGCGTCTCCCGCGCCAGCCCCGCGCCCGCTCGGGCCCACGCTCCATGCCACGCGACACCCGCGCAGTGCGTCCCTCGCGTCGGGGCCGGCGGGCGAGCGCGAGCACTCGAGCCCCTCGACCGTCATCTCGACGCGCAGCTCCTCGCCCGGCCGCACCGCCACTGGCGCCGGCAGCAGCACGCATGCGTGGCGGTGGTAGGAGTCGCAAGCGCGCTCCGTCGCGTCGGCGCCGGCCACCTGGACCGCCACCTCGGTCCAGAGAAGTACCGCATGGCACGTGCCGCCGTGCGTCAACCGCAGCGGCGCGGCGTGCAGCTCCGGGCCTCCGGCGCCGGCCTCGACGCCGCCCGCGCCCGCCGCGCCCGCGCCCGCCGCCGCCAGCCCGCCCACGCCCGCCGCCGAGAAGGCGGCGCTCACATCGAGTGTCGCGACGGTGACAGCGGCGGAGAGCTCACGCAGGACACCTCGCCACGGCGTCGCGTCGAGCAAAACCAGCTGACCGCCCGCCTCCGGGCGCGGCGCGTGCTCGTTGAACGCTCCGAGCTCGAAGCCCACCGCCTGCCCCACTGGCTGGCGCCTCCGCCAGAGCTCGTCGCACTCCACGGCCACGGCGCGCACACTGTACTCGGTGGCACCGGCCGGGACCAGCTCGCACCTTGCCGTCGAGAGCACGCCGCGTACCCGCAGCGCGCTCAGCTGCTGCCGGAGGCGGAGGATGTGGTCGAGCGCCCAGGTCTGCGAGGCGCCTTCCCTGCCGAGCAGCACGTCGTAGAAGGGCTCCGCCACGACCGCCACGACCGCCGACGGGTCATCGAGTGCGGCCGCGAGCTCGGCCGGGTGCTGCAAGCCGGCCGCATGCACGCCGGCCGCGGAGCCCACCGTGCCGGCCAGCCACCCGAGCGCGGCGAGGCGGGCGGCGGGCACGCTGGCGGCGCCGAGCCACGCGCGCGCGCGACTGTGCGCCCCGTCGCTACAGCAGCACACCAGGCTCACCGAGGGGGGCGCGGCCGACGCCCACGCCGCCGGGATGGTGAGCGAGTCGCCGACTGCCAAGACTAGCTCGCAGTGCGGGGGCAGCTCGCAGAGCCACGCCGCGTGCACGCGCGCGTGCACCGGGTCGTTGAGTTGCAGCAGCCGCTGCCAGGGCACCGCCGCGTGGTCGTGGGCGCCGCCGAGTCCGGAGGGCACGCGCGCCGGAGTCGGCGATGCGTCGGGCGGCGCGCTCGCCGGCCCCACCACCGGCCGCGCCTCCTCTTGCACCGCAAATGCCGGCGTCAGATCGTCGTGGCAGACGAGGAGCGTGATCGTCTCGCCGCGCGTGACGCGGCGCGGCGTGGGAAGCAGGCAGACGGCTTGTCGCCAGTGGTCGCGTGCGGGCGGTCGAGGGGTGGAAGGCGGCTGCTCGGCGGCATCCGCAAAGCGCGGCGCCGTGCCCAGCCGTACCGCGCCCGCGCGGTCCATCTGCAGCTCAAACCACACGCCAACGCAGTTCACCTCGCCGTCGGCCGTCGCGGTCACGGCCACGGTTGTAGAGCCCGCCGGCTCGGGCGGCCGCTCCGCAAAGCCGCAGCGCAGCGCGGCGAAGGGCGCCGAGAGTGGCACCGCGAGCCCGTGTTCGACCAGCGGGTCGAGGTGCATGTGGATCGGCGCCACCGAGCAGGTCGCCTGCGCCGCCGGCCGGCCGGCTGTCGCTCCCGCTCCGAGCGGCCCATCCTGCTGCAGGCCGAACATGCCCTCGGCCGTCGCCGACGCCAGAAGCACGCCCATGATCGTGCCGGCGTGCGGCACGACGCGGCCACCCGGCGCGAGCAGCCGCCCGTGCGCGTCGCGCAGCGTGGCCAGCACGCCCTCGCCCAGCAGAACCGAGTCGAAGATCTCCGTCACTACCAGGTCCGCCTTGCAAGGCAGGTCGCACCCCTTGCCGAACCCGACGCTCAGCGAGGTCGAGGGCTTTCGGAGGACGTGCACGCGCGCCTCGAGGCCGTTGGCGGCGACTACCGCGGCCGCCGTTTCGGCAAGCGCTGGATCGGCCTCGCACGCGAATACGTGCTGCGCCGCGCTCCTACTCGCGAGCAGGCTGAGCAGCCCGGAGCCCGCGCCGATGTCGAGTATGAAGTCGTCCTCCTCCGCCTCGGCGGCGATGGCGACGGCGTACGCCTCGTTTCGCTCGAGATCGTGCATCATGTCGTAGTGGTAGCCCGGCGAGCTGGTCTTGCCTGTCGCCTTCAACGAGGCGGTCAGCACCGCGAGCGCGTCCATCGCGGGAACTTTTGGGCCGTGACACGGCCTCCAACCGACGCGCAGGGGCACGCCATCGTGCCGGAGGGCCTCACCACCATCGGCAGCTGGGCCTTCTCGGACACATGCTCTACTCTCTCTCTCGGTCGTGATTTCACAACTCTTCTCTCGGTCGATTTCCCGAGCAGCCTCGTCTCCGTCGGCGACTGCGCCTTCCACTGCTGCACCGCCCTCACCTCCGTCGCCCTTCCCGTCGGCGTCGTCTCCATCGGCGAGGAGGCCTTCTGCAGCTGCTCCTCCCTCGCCTCCGTCACCCTCCCCGCCAGCGTCACCTCCATCGGCAGGGGCGCCTTCCGCAGCTGCCGGTCCCTCACCTCCGTCGCCCTTCCCGCCGGCGTCGTCTCCATCGGCGAGGAGGCCTTCTCAAGCTGCTCCCTCACCTCCATCCACCTCCCCGCCGGCGTCACCTCCATCGGCTACCGCACCTTTGCCGGCTGCCGGTCCCTCACCTCCATCCACACCTCCCCGCCAGCCTCACCTCCATCGGCAGCTACGCCTTCCGCGAGTGCACCGCCCTCACCTCCATCCACCTCCCCGCCAGCCTCGTCTCCATCGGCGAGCAATCCTTCCGTCGCTGCTCCTCCCTCGTCTCCGTCGCCCTCCCTGCCGCCCTCGTCTCCGTCGGCCGCGGCGCCTTCGAGGGGTGCTCCGCCCTCACCTCCATCACGCCGCTGCCCGATGGCGTCTCGATTGGCGACCGTGCTTTCTTTGACTGCCCCCTCAACGACGAGGCGGTGGCAGTAGTACGGGCCATCAACTGTTGGGCGGTGTGAGCCTAGCGCAGCGCGAACTCGCCGTCTGAGCCTAGCGCAGCGCGAACTCGCTCTGAGCCTAGCGCAGCGCGAACCCGCGCACACACAAACAAAAGCTTTTGCGCAGCAACCCGGCCGGGCAACCCTTGAAAACAACTTATTTCTCTTTTGTGTTAGTGCCAGTGCGAGCCAGTCCGTGGCAAAAAGAAAGAAAGAAAGAAAACAGACAACCCAAGGGAGGGATGGGAGGAGTCCGTGGCAGTGTTGTCGAGGATTGCGCGAAATTCTCTTTTGCGGGGAACCGGCTTCGCCGGTGGGCTCTGGGCGAGCTCCGGCCTGGCTCGCTATCCGCCAGCGGGCTCATGACGGACAACGGATCAGGCAGTGGCCTGGCGGCGGTCGCCTTCGACATCGACGGCGTCTTCAAGTACGGCCGCGAGTGGTCTCCCGACGGCTACTCCGCGCTGCAGCGGCTGGCCGCCGCCAACATCCCGCACGTGTTTGTCACCAACGGCGGAGGCGGCCTGACCGAGAAGTCGTACGCGAGCGGCTTTGCGGCAAAGGTGACGGGCGCCGCATCCAACGCGAGCGACCCGGCGCCGCTCATGTCGGACGAGAACATGATCCTCTCCTACTCGCCCTGGAAGCGCGCGCTCGGTGCCGAGCTCGCGAATCGGCGTGTGCTGCTGGTGGGTGACCCGTACGACAAGGTGACGCAGGTGGCCGAGTCGTACGGGCTGAGGCGGGCGGTGCACTACCAGGACTACGCGCGCCGCCACTCGACGCTCAACCCCTTCCGCCAAGCCAAGGAGGACGGCGGCTCGCACACTGTGCGGCCGACGGCGAAGAGCGGCCGGCTATGTGCGTATCCTCTCTCCGGGACCTGCGGCGGAGCCTGCTTGCAGGCGGTCGACAACAAGACCACCGGCGCGATGGGGTCGGCGCAGCGCTCGCAGCAGCCGCCCGCCGCCGACGCGGACGACACCGACCCCTTTGCGGCGGTGCTGGTGATGTGCGTGCCTGACCTGGACTGGTCCGGCGGGGCGGCGAGAGGAGGCGAGAGGAGGCGAGAGGAGGGCGCGAGTAGGTGCGACCCGTTCGAGTGGTTCGAGGCGCTGCAGTGCATCGTCGACATCCTCTGCTCGCCGACGCCGGCAGCCGCACCCCCCCTGCCCGCCACCGCCACACACACCGCCACACACACCGCCACACAAGCCGCCACACACCGCCACACGCCGCCACACGCCGCCACACGCCGCCACACACCGCCACACGCAACTCGCGCGCCTCGCCCGGCCCCTCCCTCCCGCTAGCCGCGCGTCTCAGCCCGCCGGAGGCCATCCGCGAGTACGACCTAGATCTCCCCATATCTCCCCATCTCTCACCCATCTCTCACCCATCTCTCACCCATCTCTCACCCATCTCTCCCCGCAGGCAATCAGCGAGTACGACCCGTCGGTGCCGCCCGTGCCCGTCCACTTCTCCAACCCAGACGTGCTGTGGAAGGCCAGCCGAGATGCGCCGAGATGCGCCGAGATGCGCCGAGATGCGCCGAGATGCGCCGAGATGCGCCGAGATGAGCCGAGATCACTCTACGAGCCAGGGCGTCCAAGCCGCAGCGCGCCTGCTGGACGCGTGCCTCACGCCTCACGCCACCTCGAGACCTCGAGACCTCGACGCCGCTGCCGCCCCCAGCCATGGTGCGCCCCCCTCTCCCTCCCTCTGCAGGCGCAGCACCCGTACCCGCGCTTTGGCCAGGGGGCCTTCAAGATCGCTCTCAAGGCCCGCACACACACACACACACACACACACACACACACACACATCCCTTCCTCCCCCTCCCCCTCTCCCGCACCTCCCGCACCGCACCCCCTCCCCTCCGCACACGCCCCCAAAAGACGTCTCCTCGACATCTCCTCGACGCCTCCCCAGGCGACCTTCCGCTTCCTCGAGGAGCGGCTCCGCGCGTTCGCCAGCGCGCCGGCGCGCCGCCCGAGGCTCGCCCCCCGACCCAAGGGAAATGGCGCGCTCTTCACGCCAAACACCCGGCTGTGAGCAGGCGGCGGGGGGGGCGCGTGCCGAGCGCTTCTACATGGTCGGCGACAACCCGGCGTCGGACATCGAGGGGGTGCGGCGCGCAAACATCTTCCACAAGGCCAAGGGCAACGACACGGCGTGGAAGGGCGTGCTCGTCAAGACGGGCGTCTACAAGGACGGCGACGAGACGAACGGCGCGACCACCGTGGTGGCGGGCGTCGCCGAGGCGGTCGACTGGATCCTGGCGTGCGAGCGCGAGCACGCAAAGTGAGGCGAGGGGGGGGGGGGGGATTGCTTGGGGGGTTGGGCGTGGCACGGGTGCGGCCGCTAAGGTTCGTCGACGCTCGACGGGTTTGCACGCTACGCGAGCGGCATGCAGCTCTCGCGCGCCGACGCGCCGTCCGCCGATCAAGCGCCACGGCTCTCTCTCGTCTCCCGATCAAGGTTATTTTGATATTTTGTCGTCCTGGAGTAAAGCCGTCGAGAGACTAGAGTGTGCGATTTTCTTTTATTATTTTCTACTCTTATACGGGGTGTGGAGGATGAGTTGAACATGGGGTTGTGCGCCGGGCCCTCCTGCTCGGCTCCAGCCCCTGTTGATAGGTCCAGGTGATAGCCCTGGATGAGCAATGCATACGCCTCACTGGACCAATGGTTGGGTAGTAGGGCTAGAGGGTCGCCGTACACTTAGCCTCTGCAGCGAGCGAGCGCTCAACTTAGCCCCCGCACGGAGCCGGGCTCGGACTTAGACCCTCATGGTCGGGGGCCATGAACTTAGACGACATAAGGCCAACTCCGGATAAAACCCGGGTATACCTGCAAAAGTCCAGGTTTACCCGAAAAATACCTGGACGCGTCCCGACCAACGTATGCCGCGCACGACGCCATATCGCCCAGGGCCAGTGCGCTACTTGCGGCGCGCAACGCCTGCTCAAGTACGCGCAACGTACCATATGCTGCCGCTATGCGTGCCTTAAGGCGGCTGCGGCGAAGCGGCGGGCGCGGCATGCCGATGGCAGTGCGGACGATGCGGTTGCGATGTGTTCTGCTTCAAGATCGTGGCGGTGCTTGGCATGGATATGCACTTCTGCGATCCCAATCAGCTCATCGCAACGAAGCAGCGCAACAAGCTGGCTGCTGTCAACAAGGCCCTATGCTACCTCACGCGCGGATAGTTCAAAGAGGACCAGCATACACAGGCTTCTCTGACATGCGTTTGTTTGAGCTTGAGGCTATTTGTGAGAACTGTTTGGCGAAGAAGTCGCCGAAGATTGCGCTCAAGAAGCAGCAACGAGAATCGGAAGAGGAGGATGCTGAGGCGGCGATTGCTGAGCATGAGAAGGATCGATCGCCCGCCGCAGGCGAAGAAAATTTGGGGGTTGCGCCGTATCGTTTGTACGTTGATCACGGTGGGAGCCTCTTGGCCCCAGGCCGTCCACGGCCGACTTAGCCGATGTAAGAGGCTCCCGCTGATCTTAGACCGCGCAAGCACTCCAGCGTGGCTAGCCACACTTAGACCCGTTAGGCCTCCAGGCTCAGAACTTAGACTACTACCCAACCATCAGATCGCCCGACCGCGTCCCGGTGCTCTGCCGTCGGATTTGTGACGCCGCCGCACCGCGCCGCGGCCGGGGGCCCTCCGGAGGCCGAGGATGGCCGTGGCGGACCGGGACGAGCTCTGGGAGGGGGGGTGTCAGTGAGTATATTGTAGAGACTAACCATGTGCACAATAACTCTCACTCTAGCTAAGCGAGGGGAGGCGATTCCGGGGCCGTACAGCAGCTTGACGTGCTTCGCCGGCGTGCGTCCCGGAGCGGTGCCGGAGCGCGGCGAAATCGGAGGACACCGTCACCGACGAGTGCGTTGGAGTATTCACTCCGGACAAAGACGGCCGCACGCACACGAGCTGCGGTCGTGCGGCCGTCATAGCGGCGAGGCGCGGGACCGTCTGTGGCGAGGTGGGTCGTGTCCTCCGATTTCGTTCAACCCAGCATCCACACCCTTTATTTGCGCCAAGAATTAATGAAGCCGCGCACCAAGGGTTCAATTCGCAACGGAAAAGCGGAGATCCTATAGCTCGCTGCACGCGCTGGGAGACGTGCGCGCAACCTAAAGTTTTGGGAATAGCCTGGGATACCTCAGGGGGTAGAGTACTCTATGTGTGAGTGTGTCAGTGTGAGGGGTGTGCACCAACCGCAGACGGGAGCGTCGTGTTTTGCCCTGAACTTGCTCCTGGGAGTTCTGGGACAAGATCTTTGCGGGTTTAAGAGGGCGCCGCGCGCGACCGCGACCCTGCGCCACAAATCCCCGCCATTTGCCGGAGATGAGGCTGCCCACATCACTTTTTACAATATGTCTCAGCGCACGAGCGGCGACAATAGCGTCCCCGCCCCTCGCCCAGCTCGACGGCGTCTACTTCTCCTTCCAGACCGGCGGCGACGCGTCGGCCGTCGTCGACCGATTCGAGGCGCGCCAGTTGGGCAGCCGCGTCACCTTCTACCGCAACGGCGCCGTCGGCCAGACCGCCCCCATCGACACGGCGACCGCGCAAGCGGGCGAGTCGTACACGGTGGAGGGCAACTCGCTCACCGGCGTCGTCACCGCCATCGTGCAGACGAACGGCGACATTGTCTGGTCGCACGGCTACACATCGCGCAAGGAGTCGCCTTACGCACTCTCCCGGTCCTGCGACGCCTCCCGGCATGAGGTGCGCCGCAGCGAAACCCCCTACCCCTCCCAGTCCTCCGACTGCTGAACTGCCTCGTCCTGCAGGCCTCGAAGTGCAACGATGACGACTGCTGCGTGGACGTGATCCACCCCAACTACTCCAACAACTACGCCGGCTGCAAGGACGGGTACGTCTTCGCCTCGGGCGGGCCGGGCTCGTGCTGGACCGGTGGCGCGCAGTACGAGAAGACGCTCTGCTGCCCTGCGTCAGCGTCCGCCCCCCCTTCGGCGTCCCCGCCCCTTGCCCACCTCGACGGCGTCTACTTCTCCTTCCAGACCGGCGGCGACGCGTCGGCCGTCGTCGACCGCTTCGAGGCGCGCCAGTCGGGAAGCCGCGTCACCTTCTACCGCAACGCGCAAGCGGGCGAGTCGTACACGGTGGAGGGCAACTCGCTCACCGGCGCCGTCACCGCCGTCGTGCAGACGAACGGCGACATTGTCTGGTCGCACGGCTACACATCGCGCAAGGCAGACGCCTCGCCGCCGTCGGCGACGCCGCCCGCCTCTTCGTCGGCGGTGCACAAGGTGACGATCGGCCACGTGCTGTCCTGGTACGGCTACAAGGCGGCCGCTGAGGCTCAAGGCGCACGGCTGCCGACGGCAGCCGAGCTCGCGGCGGCGGGCGTGTCGCTCGACTACGACCAGTGGGTGCCAATCATCCAGAGCGCGTCCGACGGGCAGACGGGTCGTCGCGATGGCGTGCGTGGCGCGGGCGAGAACGCGTGGTGCAACGTCGGCCCGCGCCGCTACGTGACCGAGTTTCCGTTGTGGGGGCTCGACGAGGCGGAGTACAGTTGGAAGCGCCTGGACTACTTCTACGTCGTGCACCTGCCCCTCGCCCAGCTCGACGGCGTCTACTTCTCCTTCCAGACCGGCGGCGACGCGTCGGCCGTCGTCGACCGCTTCGAGGCGCGCCAGTTGGGCAGCCGCGTCACCTTCTACCGCAACGGCGCCGTCGGCCAGACCGCCCCCATCGACACAGCGACCGCGCAAGCGGGCGAGTCGTACACGGTGGAGGGCAACACGCTCACCGGCGCCGTCACCGCCGTCGTGCAGACGAACGGCGACATTGTCTGGTCGCACGGCTACACATCGCGCAAGGAGTCGCCTTACGCACTCTCCCGGTCCTGCGACGCCTCCCTCTCCATGTGCATCGACGCCGACTGCCAGGCCGAGGAGCACCCCGAAGCGGGCGCCCGCAGCCCGCTCTTCCTCACAAACGCGATCCTCCTCGGGATCTGGTGCCTGGCCCTTGCCATCTCTGTCTGTGGACGGCGTACGAGGCAGCGCTGGCGGCCGGCTGTGCGGGCTACATCTAGGAAGCGGTGACAACTCAAACGCGCTCGCATAGCCCTGGGTCGGGGCATGTGTTAGCCATGCATGTCCGAGTACAGAACCTGTGTAGAGCGCTTTGTGGCAGGCGCAGTGTGTAGCATGGATTTGGTAGGTGGTAGGTTAGTTAGGGGCCACTAGGGCAGACGAGCTGCTGTGTTAGTTTGAGTGCACATGACATGTACAATGTGCATGTTGTTGTATGTAGGAACTGAGTGCAGAAGATTGGGGGGGGGGGGGGGGGGGGGCACGCGAGCATTGAGGTTCCGTCACATCCAGCCACATCGACGGCCTTGAGGCAACGCTTGGTGCAAATTTTCTCTTGAGCCACCTCTCCTTGCTTGTGGCAGCGCAACCCAGCTTCGCGCTCGCCGACGCTTCCCCGACCCGCTGCCGTCGCCGGCCGGCTTATCGGGCTCAGCTGCCTCGACAGCCGCCTCCGCGGGTATGGCGGAGCTTCTTGACGCGCTGGGCAAGCCAGCGCTGCCGTATCTCAATGGAGGCAGCGGCGAGCACAGCGGCGAGCCGTACCTCACCTTCCCGACGTACGACTTGCCGCAGCCAAACGAGGTGCTGCCCGCGGTGATCGTCAGCCTGCCGCAGCTCTTGAACCCCGACGGCGGTAGTTGGACGAAAACGGGAAAAAACGACTATATCGCGAGGCGCAGCGACGGGAGCCTGTTGCAGATCACGCCGGACATCTACATATTCTCGCAGTGGGCATCCATCACCCGCTACCTCGCCGACCTTGGCATCAACAACGCGGTCGAGAACCCGTACCAATCCGTCCAGCAGGACGACGGCTCGCCAGGACTGAACGAGCCGCAACCGGCGTCCGTGTACGGCAACGGCACAAGCGGCTTCATGATCAACTGGCTCGGCTGCCGCTGCTCGTGGCCGGTGACGCAGATGATGTGGTACCAAGCCCTCGGCTGCCAGCTCCACTCGTGGGCCGCCGTCGTCGTCGCGGTCCTCACCCTCTTCCTCGAGATCGCCCTGCTGGATGGCCTGCTCACGGGGCTAGTGCGACAGGCGCCGCACAAGACGCGCAAGTACTCGATCGAGAACACGCAGAACCAGGCGCGCGACGACCCGATCGGCTACGTGTGGCAAAACACAGAGGCGATCGTGCTGCCGCTGGTCATCCTGCTGCTCGTTATCGGCACCGCGTTTGGGAACAGCCCCGTCGGCACGCAGTACATCCAGAGCCACGCGCTGCTTCGCATCCAGCTGCGCTCGCTGGCCAGCCGGTACGAGGGCCAGACCTACGCCTACTGCACACTTGTCTTTTGGTGCGTCGTCACGACCGTCAAAGGAGTCATCGTCCCCGCCTACATCGTCGTCGCCATCCCCGCAATCATCGTCATCGGGTCGTCGGGGACGGCGCTCCAGGCGACCCTTCCGAGAAGCTTCCGATACCGCCCACACACCGCACCCGCGCCGCATTCCACCGCGCCAGAGGGCCGAGACATGCCTCGCCCTACCCCTCCGCCTCTCCATCCTTGCCCACTTTCCGCCCGGCTGATGGCCGCTACACCCGCCGCAGGACGCCATCATCGTCTTCCTCATCTTCCGCTTCATCCCCGCCTTTTCGCAGTTCGCCTACTCCATCGTCTTCTTCGTCGGCTGCCTCGGCTTCTACACGCCCAACACGCCCCTCTTCGGCGTGCTGTCCGCGTACGTGGTGGGGGCGCGCGTGCCGGTCACACAGCTGAGTATGACGTACGTCTACCTGTGGTGGACGCTCGGCGTCTCCGCCCTGCTCGTCGTCCTCACGCAGTACACCCTCTCGACCCTCCTCCTCTGGGTCGTGCCCATCTCCGCCTTCTACTTCGAGATCTGCTGGCAGGCGAGCACGCGCGCAGAGAGGCACTTCCGAGACACGTCCCCAGACACGTCCTGGTCACCGACTCGGTCGGACGGGCCTTGCGCCGTCGCATCTCCGCTGCACCTCGGCGAGACCTCGGCTGCATGCCTCGGCGGTCTCGGGGCGGCAGGCAAGTAGGCCAGCAGTCTAACGGCTCCTCTCTGTTCTCGGCGCGGCAGGCCATCCCGTGGTGCATCGACGGCCCCTCGGTCTGCCCGCCACACACCGGTGCCGCGCCTCATAGATGCGGAAGCACGGGCCGCTAGTCTTCCAACCAGCCCTCGAGGAGGAGCGTGTGCAGTCCACGGCCACTTGTCCTCTCGCGAGGGGCGCAGGCGTGCGGGGCACGATGCTCACCCCCTCCCCCTTCCCTGCCTGCCCCTCCAGGCCCTTGCCTCTCCCTCACGAGCATCGGCACGGTGCTGCTCTGCACCTCCCTATTCGTGGTGCGCTACGGCTGCTTCCTCTTCCCCTGCGTCTGCGCGCCCGAGGCGCCCCCCCTCCCCCCTCCCTCCCCCCCCCCACGCACCCGCGCTTCACGCCTCGAGCCGTGCACAGGTGCCCGGCTGGCTCGCCTTCCCGCCCTCGACTGACCTGCTCTCGCCGCTCGGAGAGACGTGGGGCTTCAAGTACTCTGCGCTCTTCCTCGAGCGGCTCGCCGGCCTCTGGGACGGCGCCGACTGGCCGCACGACTGCGCCTTCGAGCCCGACGCGAGCAACTACGCGCCCTCCGGCTTGGGCGGCACCCCGCAGCACGTCATGTCCTTCATGGCCGAGAATATTGTCGCGCAGGGCACGCAGGCGCAGGCGCAGGGGGCAGCGCTCGAGGCGCTGCGCGGGTTGGTGGAGCAGCAGGCCTCGCAGATGGAGCAGCAAGCCTCGCAGATCGCGGCGCTGCAAGCACAAATGGGTGCCGCGGCGCCGGCTGGGACGGAGTATAGAACTGGGTATCCCCTTTGGTGACTGTATCCCCATATGTGTTGGCTGTTGCGTCCATACCATGCGTCAATATAAAAAATGTCTAGCTCTCGCTCTGGTACATGGCCCATGTGTGGTACCTTGGTATTGGTACATGGCCGTAGAGGGCCGTATAGTCTATAGAGAAGACAGACGAGGCGCATATCCGCAACTGGCAAAAGCTAGGCGGAAAGGGGTGCAGGTGGGAAGGTAAGGCTCTACTCGGAGCTAGTGGACATTACACTGTACACCACGCCCAGACACAGGGTGATGCTCTGATAAACCCTCCGGATCTTCGACAAAGGTCGGATATTTCTTTTTTCAAAGTGCAAGGTGTGAATAAGAGGTTTATGATAGGGCTACTACGACGAACTATGCGGCAATCGACTGGGCGCCTGGCGCCCGACCACCCCCGCGCAAAGACCTCGTAGTAGCCCTCCCCGTAACCGACTTGGCCGGAGACGTGTCCTTCCAGGCCGCTGTCGCCGCGCAGAGATCGGCGCGAGCAGTCGCTCGAGGTGCTCTACTGGCTGGCGGTGCTCAAGGGGAAGGCGCACACGCTGGCCGAGGACACGGTCGTCAACACACCGACACCATCCCCGCGGGCTATCTCGTGGTCAAGGCGCAGTGGCTTCAGGCTCGAGCAACGCGAGTGCGAGGGCAAGCTTCGCTCCTACACGCTGCTCGAGGCCGAGACGCTCATCATCGTGAATCACATGGTGCGGCTGGCGGGCTTGCGCTTCTCGCCCGGGCGGCCCTGCGGACCGCCAGCTGAGGAGCGCGCGCGAGAAGCTCTATATTGGCCTACAGACGCATTACTCGCTCGAGGGCGTGCTGCAGTGAAGACTTATTTTGGAGGCGTCGATTTGTGCAAAAATGTGTGTTAGAGTGCGCTAGATGGCAAAATTTTCTTCGCCTCCGGCGGGGCCGCTCGCCGCGGGGCTAGAGAGTGACTTTTGTCGATGTCGGCTAGAAGTGCTGCACGTTTTTCAGAATTTCACCCCACAGGTAACTTGCGGTTGTGAACAGGGTCGTTTGGTTATATCCGCATGTTACAATCGCGAGGACGCAATACATGGCACACATTGCGGAATTCGCACTCTACCCCTCTCCGTGAAACTAAGAAGGGGATATGGGAGGAGGGTGGGATCAGAGAATCGAGGCCACTGGCCTCTGCTCCCGCCTGGGATCGCCCATTGCGACCCAGAGCTAAGAGAGACATCGCGAAAACCGTGGTCGCACACGTGGTTGTGCTTGCATGTCCCGTCTGGCTTGAGCATCGACGGCACATGCGCCTTGCCCAAGTTCCAAGCTGTGCAAGGGGCCCCATCACTCGAAAAGCGTCCATTCCACTTCTTTGCGGTGTTGCCTGTCTCCCCGGACCGCGGCTCCCCGCCGCGTGTACGAAAAAAGGCGGACTCCTGCACGTTGGGGTACACGGCCGCGAGAATGAGGCGCGCCTCATCCATCATGCCGGCGAGATAGACCTCCTCGGTTGCCTTGCGCAGGGAGAGCGCCCCGCCAGACTCCTCCACCTTGCGAATGAAGGCGACGAATAGACACACAGCAAGCTGCCATGGATGTCCGCGATCGAGGATCGTCTCGTAGACGACGTACTGCAGGAAAGCAGTCAGCTCGGTGGGTGACGTGCCCAGTCCAGAAGAAATCATCAGCCACAGGTTGAGTGCGGCCCCAAATTCCGACTCGGTCTTCGGGTAGACGATGCGCGCACTGTGAACTGAGGTCGCCCGTTGCGTGGTGGTCGTCCCGGCGTTGAGCGACGCAGTGGTTGACGATTTTGCAACGCCGTCAGCCACCTCCCGGCTCACCTTGGCGAAAGTGAAGGTATAATCCCCAGTTGGGACGGTTGGACCGTGCTCGGACCCCCCGGCGTCAGGGATTGCAGTCTCCTTGAGCGTCCTCAGGAGGTCCAGGCTGCGGGTAATGTTCGCAAGCTTTCGGGTTTTCTCTTCCCCCTCTTCCTCGGCCTCGACGCCAGAAAGCTGCTGGGCCAGCTGCTCGACTGCCTCCATCTGGCAGATGCGTCCGGCGGAGATGGCCTGGACGATATCGCCCTTGGAGGTATCGGCAGTGATGGAGAAGGGCGTGCCCGCGGCTGGGCGGCGGCGCATCGCCACAAGGGCCTGAAGGGCGTTCGTCCCAAAGATGCGCAGGTAGCGCGGCCGGATGAGGGTGGCAAGAGTGACGGTACTCACGACTCCGACGCCTGCCATCGCCGACGCGTTGGTCGCGACAATGGTGATGGTCGGGCACCGTTGATCTGTGTCGTAGGTGCAGGATGCGATCGAGCTGCCACACGAAGGGCAAACAGCGCCGACTCCCCCGAGCCCCCCGAGGACTAGTAGCGGGATCATGACAAGGCCGTACTGGTAAACGGCGACGGAAAGCGTGCAAAGCAGGCCACCGCGGGCTCGGAGAGAGGCGTGGAGGAGGGAGACCGACTCTTCTGAAGGCTCGTCAGCATGAGCACCGCCTCCACGGACTCGGCGGAGCAGGGAATCGATCCGGGTCTCAAGCACGTACGTCTTGATGTACGTGTCCATGAAGTAGCCAACGTGCCGCCCCATGGAGCGCGTGGCGAGGTAGATGGCGGAGAAGGTGAGGAGCACACCTGCATAAGGGCCCATCGCCGCGTAGTCCCGGAACGGCTCGGCAATCGCCGCCGCCCCGTGGTGGAACAAGGGGTACCCTCCACTGAGGAGGAGGAGGACGCGGACAGGGGTGTAGTCACAGAGTGCGCGAACCTGATAGCCGACACAGTAGACGAAGACGGCCATCCTGAGGAAGAAGAGGAGCTCAGGTCCCCCGTCACCGCTTGTCACCAGCTCAATCAGGGTGGTACCCAGCAGGTAGAGGAGGACTGCCCCAGCCCCGGCACGGTAGACCCGGCTAGTGAGAAGGGCTGCAAGACCGTCATAAGCGAGGCCCACGGCGATCGACCAGAGGAATAACGTGAACTCGATCGTAGTGTAGGCCCAGCCCATCAGAGAATCGAGGCCACTGGCCTCTGCTCCCGCCTGGGATCGCCCATTGCGACCCAGAGCTAAGAGAGACATCGCGAAAACCGCGCCAATAAGTTGCTGCCGATAAGTTCGCCCAACGGCGGCGCGGCGTGCAATAATTGCAAATAGGAAACCGCGCCAGACCGGCGGCGCCGAAGTGGAACGGCGCCTCGCACGGCGGACACCAGCAATATTAATAATTGACTTGAGCCGCCATGGTAGGACGCCGCCCTGAATGATGACGGCAAAGCAACCCGAATAATAAAAGCCATTGCTCCCTCAGTGTAAACGACTGTGAATACCGAACTCCCCCATTCACACCTAGTCACCGTGGCCCAACTGGGGTCAAGCCTGCAACAGACACTTGCTTAGTCCTCGGTCCCAGAGCTCCACCTTCCGTCCTCCCGGGGCTCCGGTTCTCCCCGATTCGCTCTCTTGCTCGCTTGCCGAGCGTCATACGACGGCCGGTGTGGTCGTTTCCCTCGTTGTTGGTGTCGCTTTCTCCGCTGTGCACGCGGAATTTTTTTCTTGACCCACACGGCTGGTCGGCGCACTTCGGCGTTGCTAGCCTCGCGCTGAAGGCTGCGGCGAGCATGGGCGAGCCCAGCAGCCAGGACGCAGCGCCTCCTCTGCAGGACGCAGCGCCTCCGACGCTCTTCCAAGAGATCATGGCCCAGTGGGAGTGGCTGCAGCAGGCGCACGACTATGTCGTGGCGATGCCCGCGCTGCGCGAGCGCGTCAGCTCCTTCCGCAAGTCGGCGTGGGAGTTCACGTCGACGGCAAAGGCAGCCGCGCCCGCGCGCCGAAGCCTCGGCCGCACCCTTTGCAGCGGCCCTGCTCCCTACCGCGGCTCCAACCCGCCGGCCTCAGGTGTCGACAGAGACAGTCGAGCGGCAGGTGACGGCGACGCTGCAGCCGTCAGATGCGAGCAAGGGTGTGCAGTGACACGCCGCGCACCCGCAAAGCCCATCGCGCCCGTTCCCCCACTCACCCCCCACCCCCCAGGGGACCTTTCCCGCTCGCACCCACCCCTCATCCCAGCTGCCTCTCGCTCACGCGCTGCCTCACTCACCCCAACCAATCAGCCCACCCACCGCACGACCACCCACTCGACGCCACTCCGCGCTACCCGCGCAGAGCACTGGGCCGCGCTGCTCGCCTTCCGGCGGCAGTACCCCGCCGTGATTGTCGCCGCCGCCACCGGAGTCTCCGTCCTGCCCGCGCTCGCGCACCTCCGCACAAGCAAGCTCACTGCGGTGCGGACGCCTCGCCACCACCCTCGCGCCGCCCGCCGACACGCGCGCGCACACCGCACGAGCGCACGCGCACGCAAAACAGCCACGCGCGCGGGCCGGCGGCTCCTTCAAACACGCACTGCCACGCACCACGCACGCCGCCACATCGCGCCACACGCCTCGCGCCCTCCCTCCTGCGCAGCTTCGGCTCGTTGCGCGCAACTCCCTCCTCGGCGGCGGCGGCGCGGCGGTGCTGCTCTACCCCGAGATCGTCTTCCGCGCGGCGCCGTACGTCAGCCGCGGCGTGACCAAGGCGGAGGACACGATCGCGTCGGTGCGCGCAAACTGAGAGACGCCCGCATTGTGTGCCGCGCCGTGTGCGGACCTCGCACAGCGGGGGCGCCCTGTGGGCTGTGTGCGTGTGGCGGTTGGTGAGCTGTGGCCAGAATTAGCGATATGGGGCAGCATGAGGCTGGGAAAAGCCCGACGGGACAAATTAGCAGTTTTTAAAGAGATAGCAAAGCAAAGCGGACTGTGTCTCGTTGCGGACTGTGAGGCGCCTCTCATTGGTTGAAAGGTCGTTCAGCACGCGCACACATCATACGCGAGACGACGACATGCAACTTGCAAGGAGAAATAAATTATGATGACACACACAGAACACAGAGGTGACACTGACAGTACACACGGACTAGACTAGATTCTTTGATCGGATCTCATCGTGACACTAGACAGCGCCAAGAGGGGGAGCCCGGGAGGCAGCCATCAGCTTCTGGCCCATGGAGTAAAGCCAGTCCGCCTCCGCCTCGTCGTCCTGTGAGTGCTGCGGCTGGTAGTACTTGACCGCCTTGCCCTTGGCGTCGATGACGTCGTGGTCAGGTGATATGCGATTGCCGAACATGCGCGACACCCGGATGGCCTTGACGGTCTTTGCCTTGCCGGCGGCGAAGGCGGTCAGGCTATCGTAGTCGCCGACCAAAGCTAGTGGGCGGCTGGAGGTGTAACTAGGCGCGTAGAGGTAGTTGTCCGGGTGGTCGGCACCGCCCTTTGAGGAGGTGATAATATGCAGCACGTCCTGCCCATCAATCTCGTCGCTATCGAGCAGCACGCGCAGGCACCGTGCATACACGGCTCGCGTCATGCACTCCGACTCAGCGATCGCCTTGCGCGCCGCCTCCAGCTCCGCAGCCTTGTGGAGTCTCGCCTCGAGATCGGACGCTGCGTCGTGGATGCTCTCCGCGTGATCAATGTACCAACTCACCGCCTCCTTGCGCGCAGCTAGCGCAGCGGAGGCCGCCTCTGCCGCCTCCTTTACGACGTCGACGCCACTGGCTGATGCCCCTGGCGCGCTATCGCTTGCCTCGCCACCAGCAGCGGCAGCAGCCTGATCAGCTTTTTTCTTGCGTTGCTTTGCCTTCTGCTTGTCTTTCTTGCTCGGCCTCCTCTCGGCGGCGACGGCGGCGGCAGCGTCTGCGACGGTGGCAGCCCGCCGCTTTTCGCTAGAGCCCCGGGAGCGAAGCGGCAGCTCTTCCAGCCAGGTGAGGTCGACCAAATCCTTCTCCTTGGCCGCCTCGGGGTAGGCGTGCAGCAGCGCCACCACCACCGCCTCCGACGCGCCATCCTCGACGGCCCGGTGCAGCGGCAGCCTCCGGCGCTCGTCCTTCTCCTTGGCCGCCTCGGGGTAAGTGTGCAGCAGCGCCACCACCACCGCCTCCGACGCGCCATCCTCGACGGCCCGTCGAGCATGGCGTCAAAGTCGCCGTGCTTGTTAGCGGGCCTACGAGGTGCCACCAGACGCGTCCCGGACATGTCCTTCGGCGCCTCTTCCCCCCGCGGCGCTGCAGCCGCACATTTTGACGCCGGCGAGCAACAAGGAGAGAATCTTTTTTAAAGGTCCTTTGCCGGGCCGCTGTTTCTTCTTTTGAAGAAGATGTTCGCCCGCGCGGCCTCCTCAGCAGCTCGCCTCGCCGCTGCTGGTCGGTTGCGGCCGGCTGCGCGGCCGCGCTCCTACCACAAGCTCATCATCTATGGGCGCGTGCAGTCGACGCCGCGCCTCGAGGGCGTGGATAAGGCAGACGCCAGCGGAGACAGCGCTGTCGCCGCCGCCGCAGAGGCAGCCGAAGCCTCTGCAGAGAGCCTGCCGCCATTGAGGCGGCCAACCTGCTACTTCTGGCTCAGCTCGACCGTGCCGCGCTTCTCCGAATGGCAGGCTCTCAGCGACAAGCGGCCACCGCCGCGAATGAGGTGGCGCGTGCGCGCCCGTGGCTCGCTCGCGCTCATTGCAGAGCAGGAAGCACCCGCCGCAGCAACCCCCGGACGCAAGCCCCGCCCGCCCTGGGCGCGCGCGTGTGCGAGAGCGCGGCGCCGCGGCGGCTCTGACGGCGAGAGGAGAGGCTGTGGCCCCGCTCCCGCCCCTCTTGCCCGCGAGACGGCGCCGCCTGCTTGTTGACGCCCTGCCGCCTCTCCCTCTCCCTCCCGGCCTCCTCAGCTCGTCCCCGGCGAGATGGTGATGGTCGAAGGCGCCCCTTCCCCGCCGGCCCGCACACCCACCCCGCAGTGGCCGCTCTCCCTCCCACGGCGAGTGCCCGGACCCGCCCTGCGCCAGCCTCTGTCCGCCCTGCCGCCTCTCGCCCGCTCCGCCCACCCACCGCCCGCCCACCGCGGCTCAGGCACCTTGCTTGGCGAGCTCGCGGGCCGGCCAAGCCGAGGGCCGCCTGGCGCCACGGCGTCGCGCTTCGAGGCGAGACGCGCCGAGATTAGCGCGAGATTGGCGCGAGGTTGACCCGAGATCTCGCCGTCGATAGGTCGCGGCGTCGGCGGTGCGCTTCGACGCGCTCGCGCGCAGTGCCTCCGCTCGCTCTCCGGCCGTGGCGGAGGGAACGCTCGACGAGGAGGCAGACGGGGAGGAGAGGAGAGGAGAGGAGGGGAGGGGAGGGGAGGGGAGGGGAGGGGAGGGGGAGAGGGAGTGCAGCGGAGACGAGAGAGCTTCGGCTCACCGCACCGGCGCTTCTCTGGGATGCAGGTGGGGTCTCTCGACGACGAGGTGGCCGAGGGCGACGCAGGGGGCGGCGCTGCGGAGGGCGGAGGTGCGGCGAGCGGCGGCGTGGGGGCGGCGGCAGAGGGTCGTTAGCACCGCACGTCGGTGGCAAGGATGAATACGCAATGGCCTCTGGGCCGGCGCGGGGGCCCCAGAGGGTGTCCATGCGGGGGGGAGATGGGGTCCCATGGCCCGCCGCAGGCGCCGATTTTTTTGGATTGTTTTTCTTTTTTGGAGTTTTTTACTTGTTTTCATGGGAATTCGGCGTACTTGCGGCCATGCTATCACGCCTTGCGACAGCCTGTCGGCGCAGCTGACCGTGCCATGATGCACAATTGATCACCTGCATAGCTCGCGGCCTTGTTATCAAGCATTCAGTGACGACCTGATCGTACGGCCAGTAGGAAGGTGTCCTTCCATCGTGTGCACGCTTCTGGCGCAATGCGCGTCACCTCGGATTGGCTGCTGGCACTCTCGAGGCTATGCCTACACAGCCTCGCGCGCATGGGCAGTCAAGAGGGACCACGCACCTTCTCAGGACAGCGCCGGTGCCTCTCTCTTGGACCGGCAAACGTGGTGGTATCGTGTCACCAATGTGGGACCAGTGCGGCATCGCGCCATCGACAGCTCTGAACTGCGCCTCACCACTGACCGGGAAGGCCGCCAAGTGGGCCAGCACAGGTCGCACATTGTGGCAGCAGTCAGCAGTGCATGGCTGATAGCTAGAGCAGCAGCGTCAGGGTCGCAGGGTCGGATCGTGTCAAGCCTCTCGCCCGGCCGGCCGCGTGCAGACGTCGGCCTGTCTGCTGTCTGGAGTGATCTGTCGGCGGTCAGTACGACCGATCAGGTCGGAGATTTCTGATGGTTGGAGGGTCTATCTGTATGTACTCCTCGAGATCTTTCCAAATCTGCCCTCTACTTAACCGTACTTAATCGGGAAGTTGGTGCTAGTGGAGACTAGTGGAGCCGGGGCCCCGTTTCCGCACTGCGGCGCGGCGCACGGTGCCTCCGGGGGGCCCCGCGCCGGCCCAGAGGCAATGGCCCGATGATGGTGCTCTCGGAAGGTAAAATCCGGGTTGTGTGTCGTGGTTTGAAGGTGTAAACGTCAGGAGTAATGGAAATCTCTGCGCAAGACCAGTAGATCGTTGGGGTAGAGAATGTAGATTAAGACTGGAGATCCTAGCGGATCTCTCACACGGACACGCCCAAGTCTCGCCAGTAGATCCGTCCTGTCCGGTTCCCCATTCAAGACTAAAGATCGAAGATTGAGATTGTGGATTGCAGATCGCTCTGAGCAGCAACAGGGCCAAAATGTGGAGATAGGAGATGGAGAATGCAGATTGTAGATCCTAGCGCCCAGCCATCCGCCCCAGATGTGAGATCGAAGATTGAAAATGGAGGTCGTAGATTGCTGCCGGCGGCGACAGTGGCCAAGTAGAAGATTGGAGATTGGAGATGAGAGATGGTCAGTGTGAATGAATCCAAATTGCATCTCCTTGAAGGTTTGAGCCCCCCTCCTCCCCCGGGCCCCCGAATCGAGATTGGAGATTGGAGATTGGAGATTGAGATCGGAGATCTGATCCGGCCTAAGATGACGACGTTGGAGATTGGAGATTGAAGATGGAGATCGGAGATCTGACTGGATCCCCGGCCTAAGATGACGACGCTGTGGATTAGAGAATATTGGAGATGGGGAGATCGGAGCCCACCCACCCCCTAGAGCCTAGTGGTGTTGATAGATGTTTTATAGATTTTTGTTTTTTCCTGTGGTCTGTGCGCGGACGGACCGGGGAGCCTGCGGCGCCATTTTAATCTTGAAATGCGAAAAGTCAACTCGGCATTCTGAGTTGAAAAATGCAATCTAAATTGATTTTTTGCAACTCAAAATGCCCTCAGCATCTCAAATTGCGGGTTCCCCGCCCCTGACGTCTGTCGCAAGATCTCAAGCGACTGCACGCACCAAACGCGAGATCTCAGACTCCTCTCGAGCATCTACACCGGAGAAGATTTGCCTCCACCAGTTCTTCAATCTACTGCAGCTCTTGGCAGGAGATTTGCCACTTAAGAGAGGTCTCTAAAAGGCATCTACGATCTACAGTCCAAGGATCTTCCGATGTTGCGCAGAGATTTCCATGTATGAACGTCAGACGCTCGAGTCCCATCGCAAAAAATCGTTAGCCCCCAGATCGATCACAAATTGTACTCGAGCACATTTGTCCACAGACAGAGCACTCCGAAACTCGCGCCAGGCGCACCACGCGCCACCCACGAAGACGGAAGAGAATGGCGGCCACAGTATGTTTCCACAGTGTGCGCCTTCGCCGTAGCTTCCATGCCCTAGCGTGAGGACTGTCGCTCTGGCTCGGCCCTTCCCTCGGGGCGGCGGAGCGCCTCGCCCCACAGGGAGGCGAGGATGCGGCGGGGCGGCGTGAAGGTCTCGCGCGAGTGCATCGCCGCCTGGTTGTCGATGATGAGCACGTCGCCGCTCTGCCACGCAAAGGCGACGCGGTGGGCCGCCATCCACTCCCCCGTCTCGAGCAGCGCGGCCACAGCCTCGCCGTCGAGCTCCTCGCCGTCTCCGTACCTGCCCACACCCGCCGCCGTGAAGAGGCGCCGTTCACAGCCCTCGGCATCGAGCCGCCGCTCGCCGCCGCCGCACCGGATCGCCTTGAGCGGGTCGTTGCGCCCGTCCTCCCAGCCGGTGATGGCCGCGATCACCGCGTTGTAAAACATCTCCTTGCCCGACCGCCCGTCCACGACGAGAGCGGGCATCTGCTTCGTCTCGGTGTACAGGTCGCCTGCTCACTGCACCGCCGCGTGAAGAAGACGCTGCTCACATCGCACGGCGGACTGCGGCGGCGTGTAGCCCGCCATTCCCGTGCCAGCGCCACGTCGTGCCGGCCGCCGCCATCGCCGCCTCGGCGCCCTGGCGCGTGTCGGTGTTGAAGGACGTCCGCCACGACTTTCCGATCGGCGAGAGAGGGTCGTCTTGCGCTGGCAGCGTGCGCGCGTACCGGATGCCGCGGGCCGCGAGCCGCTGGGCGACCGCGGGGTGCGCCTCGCACAGGGAAAGGAGGAGAGTCGGGCGCGGCCCGAGGGACGGCCGACAGACTGCCAGGGGTGGCCGAGAGGTGGCCGGGCGCACGGCCGAGAATGCGTGGCCGCACGCCTCGCGCAGGTGGGTCGCGACGGCGTTGGAGGGGATGATTGGGGTGGCTCCGCCGGTCTGGGCGGGAAACTCGCAGTAGAAGAAGAGGAAGGCGGGCTTGTCCTCGCACTGCGCCATCTCGTGGTGGAAGGGGATCTTCTCCTGCGGCGGCGCCTGTCCGCACGGCAGCAGGTGTGAGCCGCGCTCTTCGAAGAGTGCACACGCGCGTCTCCTCTCGCTGCGGAGCCTCATTGGCGGTGAAGACGCCGGGCGCGACCTCGGTGCGCGGCGCCGCCGAGCAGCCCATGCCGAACTCCTCGAGCCGCAGTCCCATGACGAAGTCCGAGAAGCCCTGCGGCGTCTCCATCCCGCCGAAGCCGCGTAGCAGGACCGCACCGTTCTCGCGCACCAGCCGGAGGAGCTCCTCTCGGTGCTCGGCAGCCCACTCGGTGAGCGTGGTGCGGCCGGACAGGAGCGGAGAGAGCGTCATCGGGAAGGCGCGGCCCGCAAAGACGCGCTCCTCGTCGATCGAGACCGGCCGGGCTCCGATCTGCTCCCAGCCGTCCGCGCCGCCTCCCCGCAGCAGCGTCAGCCGCCTCGCCGGCCGCACCGCGAGATCCCCGTCGGGCGCGGGCAGGCGGCTGGAGCGGCTGTCGGGTGGGTCCACCAATGCGATGCGGGCGGAGCAGGCAAGCAACAGCGAAATCATGGCCTAGCCAACAGCGAGCGAGCGAGCGAGCGAGCGGCGAGCCAGCGAGCGAGCGCAGTCCACCTTGATTTTCGCGAAACAAAAAACCCCGTGTGCTGACTCTGCTCCATGTCTCGCTGCGCCTCGGCGGCAGAGCCCAGCTCCATGAATTTGCCGCTTGAGCCGCTAAAACGCGAGCATGATCTTCGTGGCATCGAACGGGGCAGAATCTGAACGGGTGGCTTCGGCCATGGGTGATAGATCACTCCTGACCCGAGCTCAGGCGGCGAGCAGAAACGGTGCAAACGGGGCATTCGAGACGAGAACGAACGTGCGGTGCGTTCCGTGGCTTGCATGATGCGTGGGTGAGGTGCGTGTCCTGGAGGCCTTGGAGCTTCTTCACACACGGTCTCAATTCACTCCGGACGCTCGCTAAACGGGGAACTTCAGCTGGCGCGCTCACGTTGTTGAGTCGTTTCGCGGCGACTCGCCGCTGTCCATGAGTCGAATCGCTCTCTCCCTCCTGCTCGCCTCTCGCTCCGCTGTAGCCGACGTTTACCTGCACCACCCACGCGGCTCCAACAACAAGCTCAACGAGGTGGGCAACAACCGGCAGAATGCCGACCGGCTCTTCGACTCGGAAAACAACGGGGCATTCCATCGCCTCCGCCTCTGCCACCTCTCTCTCCGCCACCCTCACCTCCTCCGCCGCCGCCGCAGGCCGGCGGGTATCAGATTGGCGACAACTGTGCGCCGCCCGGCTGCAGCGACACCAACAACAACTACGACTATGACAAGCCTGGAGCGGGCAAGGGCCAGCTCAAGTACTACGAGAGCTCGTACCTCGATCTGGAGTGGACCAACCAGCACGGCTGCGGTGATCGCGACGGCAACGTCCGATGCAACTTTGTTATCCAATACGCGTGCGAGGACTCGATGCCCGATATCAGGGACGGGTACAGGTACGAGCGGACGGCGGGCAACGGCGCTGCGAACGGCGACACCAACAACGGCGACCGCGAGGGAGAGACATTCTTTCCCACCGAAGAGACATCCTCCGAACCGGAGCGAGCGCTCAACGAGCCCTTCTGGACTTTCCAGGACTGCTACTACAGGGAGCGGAACAAGGGTCTGTACACCGCGGACCGGCTCAATCCAAACAACGAAGACCAGCTCCGGGCCATCACGACCAGGCAGAACCCGAACGGTGACCGCCACGGCCTCGAGTGCCCGGAGGAGCGGGACTACTACCCTTACTGGCACCCCACCGTGTGGCGAGACGTTGCTGTCATCACCGACACGCCGGACCACTGCGACTTCTACCGCGCTGCCTCGCAAAACGTCAAGGACTATGGCCGCTGCTGCGACAAGACCATCTACGACTCGCAGGACGGGCGCTGCAGGCAGCTTCGGGGCCGGCCGAGAGACAACAACAACAGCCCTCGGGTGGAGGGCCCAAACAACCAAGTCGCGTGCGAGAAGGGCATCACCGACAACGACGGCACGTTCAGGCCCGGCAAGTGGATCGAGGGCGGGAGCTGGGACACCTGGCCGCCGGACTGCGAGAAGGCGCCCTTCAGCCGCGACAACCACCTCGGCAACGCCGCCGACAGGGACGTCTGGCACGAGAGCGGCGGCACCCGCCACGTCGGGGCCAACCGCTATCGCTGGAAGGTCCCAGATGACGCGCTCAAGGCGCTGGGCAAGGACGAGGCGACGTGCGTCCTCCGAATTCGGTACAACATCTCGACCGCCGATTTCGACGGCTGGAAGGGGTTTCTCAATCGCGGCTCCTCGGACGACGCCGTCACGAGCGTTTACAACAATGGCGACGCACTTGTGAAGAATAACCCGGATGGAGATTTCATCGGGTTTCAGCAGTCGAGGGCGACAGTCTTGGGCACGGGCTCGCCGCTCGCTCTCAACACGAACACCGCCCAGATCGGCCGCGTGTTCGAGGACCGCTCGCACACCTTCAAGATTATGAAGCGGCCCAGCGGTGGCCGCTGCGGCTGGCCTGCGCGCATCTTCAACGTTGGGGTCCGCGGCCGGCGCGGGAACATCGTGCAGGTCTACCCGTCCGTGGAGTACGACTTTGTGCCAAACCAGCTGCACGCGTACGAGGGCGACTGCGTTCACTTCCAGTGGACTGGAAGTGACGCCAACAGTGCCGGCAACGCAGGCAACGGCCGGCAGATGACGGACCGAACCAACCTGGTCGAGCTGACGGGACGCGGCACGAATGTCCCCGTCAAGCACGCCTACAACGACGTGGCGACCGGCGCGTACAACCGCGAGTTCCCTCTCTGGCGCAAGTACCCGTACACGAGTCTGTTCGAGGACGAGGAGACCGTGCGCAGGTTTGCTTACCTTGAGCAGGAGTACACCTGCTACCCACCCGGCATGATTCCACCCTCGCCACCGCCTTCGCCGTCGCCGACTCCGCCCTCCCCCTCACCGCCGCTGCCGCTCCCGCCCTCGCCCTCGCCGCCGCCCTCGCCCTCGCCGCCGCCCTCGCCCTCGCCCTCGCCGCCGCCCTCTTCTTCGCCCTCGCCGCCGACTACTCCGAGCGGGCGCCGCCTGAGTGAGGTGGGAGCGACACCGAGGGCATCTGAGCTCGTTTATGGGCAGCAGTGCGTCCCCAGCCGGCTATGCGACGACAACATCGACCCGAATGGAAACAATAATGGGCAGTGCCTCAACAACAACCCCTTTCCGACCAACCAGAATGAACGCAATAACGCAAACTGTCTCAACAACTGCAAGGATTTGAACGCCGCCACGGGCTACTTCGACGGTGGCCTGGTGCCGCTCAACCCCTGGCTCTCGTTGGAGACGACCACCTACAGCTACATGTCGACGCGGAACAACGACTTCAGCAACCGCAGTCAAAAGGGGTCGATCGTCGTCCACCCGTGGAAACTCCCGGTCATCCTCGGGGGCATTGTCTTCTTCTTCCTGTGCTGCGAGGTTTGCCTCTTCCTCTGCCGCCGCCACATCCACCTCTACCCGGGCGCGGTCATCTCCACCACGTCGAGCGCGCCGGCCGCGGCGGGCGACACCGTCCTGCAGACGACCGATCACAGCGGGTTCACGATCGGTGACAGGATCCGCATCGGCAAGGAGACAAACACGGTCGCCGGCTTCGGCTCCATCCACCTCGCGAGTGAGCTGAAACGCGACCACCCGGCGGGCACGTCAATCGTCTGCAAGAAGGGCTGGCTGGATCGCAAGGTCGGCCCGTGCGTGGCCGCCATCGTCCGCTTCCGCTGCCGCCTGTACGAGCGCTCGCAGATCGGCCGCTTCCCCTTCACCATCGCCCTCCTCGTCCTGTGCGGGTTGCTGTACCTGGCGGGCTACTACCTCGCTCTCGACGCTGGCGACGCGGCCCCGAGCTACGCCCACGCGAAGGCCTTTGGCCGCATGCTCGACGTCCTGTGCAACCTCATCTTCCTCCCCGTCCTCCGCAACTTCGTGTCCTGGCTCCGCACCACTCCGGTCGCGCCCATGCTGCCGCTCGACGACACGCGATGGTTCCACAAGGTTGTTGGCCTGCTGATGGCCATCGCAGCCCTCGGCCACATCGCCTGCCACTATCACCGCTTCGCGTGGCACCGCGCCTTCGGCTCCGGCGAGCCGATCGCCAGGCAGGCGGTCGGCACGTGGACCGGCATCAGCGGCCACCTCATCGCGCTCTGCATGATCGCCATGATGTTTACCGGCCTCGAGCGCTTCCGCCGCCGCAAGTGGGGCAAGGACTGGGGCGGACACTCCATCTTTGTCAAGGTGCACAAGCTCTGGGTGCCCGTGCTCGTGCTCCTCTGGACCCACAGCAAGGCCTTCTGGGCGTACTCGCTCTTCCCGGTGGGACTGATCCTCGTCGACAAGCTCATCGGCCGCCTGCGCGGCAAGGAGCCGGTCGAGCTGCTGCGCGCGGTCTCGCCGACCAAGGACGTGCTGCACCTGACGATGCGCCTCGCGAGCGGGCGCCGCTTCAAGTTCCAGGCGGGCCAGTACATCTTCCTGCAGGCGCCGGGCATCTCCGCGGAGTGGCACCCATTCACGCTCTCCTCCTCTCCGGAGGAGCGGACCTTCTCCCTCCACATCCGGTGCCGGTCCGACATGGACTGGACCTACGCGCTGCGGCAGATGCTGCTCCCGGAGGAGGGCGGGCGAGCAAAGACTTTCTCCCGGCCGGGGACGCTGGTGTCGGCGACCAGCCAGTTCGCCAACGACGACCCGGGCAAGAGCCAGGCCATCTCGATCCCGCACACGCTCTTTGTGGACGGCCCGTACGGTAGTGCGAGCGAGGAGGTCTTCCACTTCGAGGTGATGGTGCTCGTGGCGGCCGGGATCGGCGTCACCCCCTTCGCCAGCATCCTCAAGACGCTGGCCAAGCAGGCCCGGGAGGATCGCCTCGAGTCGCCGCTCAAAAAGGTGGCGCTCCCTCGTCCCCTGTGGCCCGGTCACACACGCGCGCGCGCGCGCGCTCTCCACTCTACTCTTCCACGTGCCCGCTGCAGGTCGTCTTCTACTGGATCTGCCGCGACGATCGCGAGTTCCTCTCCTTCAAAGACGTGCTCGTCGACATCCTCGAGGACACGAGCCTCGCGGGCATCTTTGAGCTGAATACGTGCGCGTCGCAGCTAGAGATGTTGCGAGACGCGCGTTGCCACGTGCGGCTGAGATGCTTCCTTGTCGCCGTCAGGTACATTACGGGCGAGGTCAACCTCAAGTCAGTCTCGGCGGACGAGAAGTACAACCAGTATGCGGGCCGGCCAAACTGGAACCGCATCGGCCAAAGCATCGGCGACAGCTTCCCGACCAGCGACGTCGGCGTCTTCCTCTGCGGGCCAAACGCCATCGGGAAGCAGCTGGCGGCGATGACCAGCAAGATGAACAAGTCGGACACCACCCGGCGCTTTGTGCTCCACAAGGAGTCCTTCTGAGCGGCGCGCCACTGGCGCGCGCCGCGGTCGACCACAACTGCGCCCCCTACAGTGAGAGATGCCTCAGTACCACACCTTCGTAGTTCGTTGCATGCATGTAGTGTTCAATACAATATAGCGCGTGCCTCGGACTCGGCGTGTCGTGTCCGGGGGGGGGGGTTAGGAGAGAGGGTGAGTGCATCCTCTCGGTTTTCCGTTGGGGCTCCATATTTTCTTCACTTGATCTCGTTTAATATATGTGACTTGTGAGGGATGCACACCCAAGTGACCACACACATGACACAACCGCTCGAGAGCGCTGTGTTTTGCCTTTTTGAAGACCGAACAGTTTTTTATCTGTAACATATGTCGCCGCACAAAAGCTGAGACTGTCCGCCCCGCCCGTGCCCCCCCCCCCCCTGTCCTCCCCGGCTCAAGTAAACAGCGACGACACCCAAGCACACACCTCAGTGCACGGCGAGCGCGTCCTCGATGGAAGCTCCCAAGCTCCACCCAGAGAGAGAGTCCGCAGGGTGGCCACGCGCCTCTTCTGAGCAGCTCGCGCTATGAGCGCTGGGCCGCCTCCGCTGCCATCCTGGCGGCGGTCGCCCTGGCCATCGCAGCGGCTGCAGCAGCACGCCTCGCCTCTGTCGCGGCCCTCGCCTCCTCGAGCGCCGTCTCCTTCCTCGCCAGCGCTGTGGTGGCCTCCTCCAGCGCTGCTTTCGCCTCCTCAAACGCCGCCCTGACCTCCGCCTGCGCCGCCCTGGCCTCCGCCTGTGCAGCCTCGGCATCCGCCTCCGCCGCCTCAGCCGCCGCCTCCGCCTCCGCCTCCTCCTCCGCCTCCTCCTCCGCCGCCTCCGCCTCCTCGGCCAAGCGTGCCGCCTCGGCCACCTCTGCCGACGCCGCCGCCTGGCTCTCCGCCGTGATGCCGAACCGGATCCTCTCCTCGGTGAGCGTCTCGAGAAGCAGGAGAAGCCTCTCCTCCTCGGCCTTCTTCGCCGCCTCGGCTGCGTCTGCCTCCGACGGCGCCTCGGCACCCTCCTCAGATTCCTGCGACGGCCCCGCCGCGCCCGCCCCGCCGCCCTTCTTCTTCTTCTTGCCCTTCTTCCCCTTGGCGCGCTTCTCCGCCTCGACCTCCGCCAGCAGCTCCTTGGCGTGCCGTGCCGCCTCCTTCTCCTCCGCCGCCCTCTGCGCCGCCCTCTCCGCCGCTCCCGCGGCCCACGCCGCCTCCTCCGCCGCCTTCTCCGCCGCCTTCTCGGCCGCCGCATGCTCCGCGAGGGCGCGCACGCACTCGGCGTGGCCCTTCTCCTTGGCCAGCTGCAGCGCGGTCTTGCCATCTGCACTGCACGGCGTCACGTCTGCGCCCGCCCGCAGCAAGCAGAGGAGGGCGGCGGGATGGCCGAAGAAAGCGGCAAGCATCAGCGCAGTGGTGCCGTGGCTGGTCTGCTGATCGATCACCGCGCCGTGCCGCAACGCCAACTCGACCAGCTTCTCGCGGCCGTACGCGGCGGCGCGAGTCAGCGCGGTGCCGCCATTGCTGTTCTGCAACAAGACATCCGCACCGCGCTGGAGCAGCGCCTCGGCCAGCCCCTCGTGGCCATGTGCCATAGCGAGCATCAGCAGCGTCATGCCGCTCACAGGGCCGTCCGAATAGAGGTACTCGAACGCCGCGTTGACCCGCCCGCCGCCGTCGAGCCACGCCAGCACCGCCTCCTCATGGCCTCGCCCAGCCGCGTCCACAACCTCCTCTGGCACCGCCCCGCCGCTCGGCTCGACCTCCGCCGCGCCGCCCTCGCCGCTCGAAGCAGAGGCCGCGGCACTCGCACCCACCGCCGCGCCTGCGCCGCCTGCCTCGGCCGACGGTGCCTTGCTCCGGCGCGCAGCCACCTCCCCGAGGTACGTCTTGAAGGCCTGGACGCACTCGGCGTGGCCCTTCTCCTTGGCCAACTGCAGCGCCGTCGCGCCCGCCGCATCGCGCAACTTCATGCCTGCGCCCGCCCGCAGCAAGCGGAGAACGACGGCGGGGCGGTTGAAGCAGGCGGCGAGAATCAGTGCGGTGCCACCGTTCTTGTCTTGCAGGTCGATCTCTGCGCCACGCCGCAGCAGCAGGTCGACCATCCGCTCTTTGCCGCCCCGGGCAGCCGTTGCCAGCGCCGCCCAGGCGGAGCTTTGGGTGTCCATCTCCGCTCCGTGCTGCAGCAGCATCTCCACCACCCGCTCGCGGCCACGGAAGGCGGCAGCGTTGAGCGCAGAGGTGCCGCAACTGTTCTGCAGGTTGATGTCCGCGCCACGCTTCAGGAGGAGCTCGACAATCTGCGCGTGCCCGCTCTGTGCGGCGAGTATCAGCAGGGTGCATGGAACCGTGCGGCCGCTGACCTGAGAGGGTTGCTCAGCGAGAGTGTCGGCCTTCCCGCCGACATTCAGCCACGATCGCACTGGTCCCAAGCGGCCGTCCTCAGCCGCCTTCAGGACGTTCTTTGGGACTTCACCACCCGGCGCGCTGTCAGCAGACGGCGGCGGCGTGCGGCGCGCGGCGTTGGCGCGGGAGCGAGAGGCGGGCATGACGGCTGGGCGGCTAGAGTGCGTCCTGCGATTTCTTCAATGTGGCTCTTACGTACATTCCCGGAGGAGGACTGCTTGACAGGGTTTGCGATGAGGAGTGACCCGAAGGGTTTCTCGGGGTTAGTTCTTTATGTCTTGAGAATGAGAAGAGATATGATGAAGAGAGGAGCGGAACGCCCTAATTTCTCTTTCCCTCGACCCGCTGTGAGTGGCGGCAAGCGCGTCCACCGGCCAAGCAGCATGGAGTACAACGATGCAACGCAGGTCATCGACGACGAGTCCGAGGAGGACGACGGCGACGCGGAGCAGTGGGCGGTCGTTGAGATGCGCGACGGCGGCGAAGAGCAGAGCCACCCTCTGTTTGTCGACCCCGGCCGGACCGAGGACCGGTTCTGGATCGGGCGCGACGCGAGCTGCGAAGTGACCCTCGATGCGGCAAGCGTCTCGCGGCGGCACGCAGAGCTCGTCGTGCGGCGCACCGGCGTCGGCGAGTACATCACCTTTGTGCAGCTCGACGCGAGCGCGCGGAACGGCGTCAAGGTGGATGGGCGCAAGATTTTGGCGAAGACGCTGACTCGGGTCCGTTTCGGCCAGAGCTTGCTGATCGGAAACGTCCGTATTCGCATCGTCGGCCCCGGATCCACATCCGTCGCTGAGGAGGCGCCGGCGGTGAACGCGGCAGCAACGCAGGCGCCCTCGCGTGTTGCCGCAGTACCTACTGCCGCGACAACACGCCACTCACGCCCAAGCGCGCGCGCCGCAGGTGGTCGAGGAGGAGGAGGAGGAGGCGGCGGTCAACGAGGACGCGTCCGGCGACGCGGCCGCGACGCAAGCCGCCGCCGGCACTGCAGGAAGCGGCGGCGGCAGCGGCGGAGGCCCCCCGGCGACTGAGGCGGCCAAGGCGGAGGAGGCCTTCACCCAGCAAGTGGATATCACACAGCAAGTGAGCGGCGGGCCTGTCTGCTCGGAGCAGCTCTCGCAGCCAGCCGAGGCCGGCGCGGGGGCGGACGGCGCAGCGGCGGCGGCTGTGGCGCCGGAGCTCGACGCTCCGACGCAGGCAGTCTTGCCGGCGGCGGGGGCGGCGGAGGCGGGAGAAGGGGCGGCGGAGGCGGCGGAGGCGGGAGAAGAGGCGGCGGAGGAGGCGGAGGCGGGGATGGACGACGCGACGCAGATTGGAGCCGAGCCGTGCGCGGAGGGGGCGGAGGAGGAGGAGCGCGACGAGGAGGAGCGGTCGGGCGCTTCTCCGGTGGCGGCCGCGGCGGCGGGCGGCGGGCGGCGCGCGGACCCCGAGGCGAGATCTCGCCGGGAGTGAGCGGGGATTGAGCCTAGACCGCCCTCTGTCTGCCGTGGGGGGCTGCTGCTGCCCGTCTTTAAGGCCGCCAGTCTCCAGAGGAGGTGGAGATGCGAGGGGGCAGCCCCACCACTTGGCCCACGCCCGCGTGTAGAGACGCTTCTCCCCTCCGCATGGGCAGGCGACGCAGCTGGGAGAGGCAGACTACGAGGCAACCATCGTCGACATGGAGGCGGAGGAGGAGGAGGAGGCAGAGGCGGCGGCGGCGGAGGCGGCGGCGGAGGCGGAGGAGGCGACCGTGCGCCGCGCTGAGCGCCTTCTCATCGCTCCCTCGCAGCCCCCTCCCCCCTCCCCTCCCCTCTCCGCCCATACAGCCCCTCCGTTTCCCCTTGCGCCTGTTCCGCCACCCTCTCCTCCGACCGCTCGCCCCGCTCCCCTCCTTCTCCTCCCGCCGCCAGCCCGCCCCTTGCCCGCCCCCAGCCCGCCCCTTGCCCGCCCCCAGCCCGCCCCTTGCCCGCCGCCAGCCCGCCCCTTGCCCGCCGCCAGCCCGCCCCTTGCCCGCCGCCCGAGCTCAGGCCCACGAGGCCCACGAGGCCCACGAGGCCCACGTGGCCCACGAGGCGCGGCCGGGCGGCACCGTCGCCGTCGGCGACCCGACTCCGGACTACGGCGAGGAGGAGGGGGCGGAGGAGGAGGGGGCGGGAGAGGGGGGTGGAGAGCCGGCCAGCCTGCCTGGGGGCTTGCCGCCCGCGCCGGAGGGCCCTGCCGGCGAAGCGACGCAGCTGGGAGGCGGCGACGGGTCCGCAACGCACTCCCGAGACACTTCCGATACACTTCCCGAGACACTCCCGAGACACCTCCGAGACACCTCCGAGACACTTCCGAGACACTTCCCGAGACACCTCCGAGACACCTCCGAGACACTTCCCCGCCTCCCCTCGCCGACCACGTGCCCCCTCCCTCAACTCGCCTGTCCGCGTCTCCGCGCGCAGCACCGCCGACGGGGTGTGCGCCTGACGCGTCCGCGACACGTCCGCAGGGACGCGACTCAAGTGGACGAGGAGGAGGGGGAGGAGGAGGAGGCGGCGGCGGCGCCAGCAGCAGCGCCGCCGCCGACGCCTTCTCCGTCCTCCCTCGCCCTCTCCGGCCCAACGGCGGGCAGCGCCGCGCTGCGCACGCCGTCCGCGCTGGTCGCGAGCACGCTTCGCGAGGCGAGATCACCCGAGATTCGCCGAGATTCGCCGAGATTCGCCTAGCACGCTGCGCGAGGTGTGCGAGCGCATGCAACACTCTCTTGGACCCCTCCGCCCCCCTCCC